TTGTTCGTTGTCGTCGTCCTTTGTCAGGGGCACATGCCAGTTGGAGGAGGAAATTTTGGACAGCAGAAATGGAAAGGCTTTTGGAGTGAAGGTGCTGGTGCTGGTCAGTGGTTGCTGACAGGTTCAAGGTTCAAGGTTGAAATGCAGGTTAGGTTTGGGGGGGGGCAGGAAGGATGGAAGGAGAAGCTGCTTCCACTTGCTGCTGCTTGCTCAATGCTCTCTATTCGTACCTACACTACGTAGGTATTCCTCCTGACTCCTCCTGCTTCCAGGTTACTACGAATACATCCATGGAGACCTATCCGTATTCCGTACTGTGTGTCCAGCTGTGCGTCTCTCGGTCTCCGCAGGGCCATCAGTGAAGCTTTGCGACTTGCGGCACCTCTTCCCACTTGGCATCCCATTCCATTGGTCCCCTGCCTCATGACGAGTGATCGAACGAAAGCTGGCCCCTCAGGCGGCAGACCCTCAGCCGGGCTCACTGGACGACTGGAGTTGGGACCTTGGCTGAAAGCCGATGATGATGGGAGGAGCCATCTGAAGCCAAAAATACATCATGCTCCAGCCACTGCCCGATCTCCACTCATCTCCTTTCCCATTACATGACTGGTCAGTATCTCGATTGCCCCCCGTTATGCTCCATTCAAAGCAAATGACCCTGAATGAGGCAGCCAAGCAGAAGCAAAGCAGAAAGTTACCGATGTCAGGGCAAGGACAGGTCGTGTGAAACCCCTGCATTCGTCTCTGTTGCAGAATGATGGGGCTATTCCCAGCTGGACTGGAGAGACTCGGCCCATTCACTCACTTGCGAAGCGAACCCCAAAGACGTTCGCAGCCCCCTTCTCACAGGGCTGACCGCCCAAGCCATTTGTCGCCGCCAATTTGGCGCCGTATTAAGCATCATCTTCACAATTTATGCAGTCCAGGATAAGGTTTCCTCGTCTCTCATCCAGAGGCAATGCCTATGAAGACGTCAAAGTCGTCTATTGTCTTTGTTCCCTTCTTTGTTGCTGCACGAGGCTTTCCGTTGACTACTGCCACCGTAAGTTGAAACCGAAGAGAATTATTGCTGATCACCAAACCCCGACCTCTAACCCCTGAGCCCCCCTCGTTGCCATTGGGACGGTTCCCCAGACGACAAAAGGCCGTTATTAATGACCACCATGACCTGGTCTGCGGCCTGCCAGTGAGGACGACACCGAACGATTTGCCCCATTGAATCCGTAATCTTCTCTGTCGAGCATTACCCGCAGAGCCCAGCATACGGGAATCATCTAGCTGAGAGTACGAAGTACGTATAGCCTGGGGTAATGCCGACTGAACGCAAGAGCCAGCCATCATCCGAAGTTGCAAAGTCATGACTGGGAGCTTCCCGTCTATGAGGCCCGTTCCCGAAATTCTAATCCACAAGCCCACTCTACTCAGTGCTTGTCCCTACTCTCGGGTCTTGATGCACTGTCCTGAATCAAGAAGACTTATCTGTCCACCTCAGTACGGATAGTCACTCTAGACTTAACAGACCGTGAAGACATAACATGTTCAACAAAAGAACGAGGTTTGACCTACAGATGTACCAACTAAACTTCCCCTACAGTCACTGGGCTGACTTTCGCGCGGCATGCCAAAGCTGAGACCACTCGTGCTAGGACTAAGTCTACTGGATCTATCAGGATCTGGAGGACATACTATACTCAAGTTGCCCAAGCATTCCATGTCTCATCAGTAGTTGAATAAGTTGAAGAATAGTGAATACTGTTATTGAGACTATGAGAAGCCCTTTTCCAAACGTCTTCAGACTTCAGTCATCTTCAGGGAGGAACTTTGGAGCTTCCCAAATTGTCGCTTATCGCCGGGATCGAGTCGCAGATAAGAGTCTCGCGCAATCGCAGCTGGGAGCTTTGACCCCAGGCACTCTGTGACGTGATTCCTAATCAACCAGACGAATTGTAACATGCCTGTAGTCTGAACCCCTCGGCTTCTCTCTGGGAAGGATCATTGACTTTCGCAGCAAGCCAGTATCTATCTTGTTTCGAGGTGGTCTTCAGACAGCCTATTGACAGTAAGTCGTCTGAGTCCTTCTTAGCTTGCCAACTCGATACTGGCTCTTGAGATCCTGTAGGCAACTAGTACTGACGGATAACATAGCCGTGAGACACAGACCTAAGATCGCTGGTCACCAAAGTCACACCAAACGCCATGGACGAAAAGAAACAACTCATGCGCGACGAGACTGGCGATGAAGCCCAGCTGCCTCCTCGCAAGAGCCCGTCTCCTGCGAAGAAAGCCGTTGTTGCTTGTTTTGCCCTGTGGCTCGTTACACTGACCTTTGGCGTCCGTCCTATGAAGTCATGCTATCATCAAATGAGAAAGCCTTGGGGTGTACCCCTTACCGTTGAGGAGAGGGCTCACAACATTCTATCTCACACCCCATTGATCGGTGCGACCGCCCTGCGTGTATTGTACAACGCGATGAGGAGTACTGACCATTCGTCTTTGTAGATGGCCACAATGACCTCCCTATTCTCGTCCGAGGATTCTTCAATAACCACATCTATGAGAAGAACTTCACCGAGCCCTTTGAGAACGGTGGTCTCGTTGGTCATGTTGATCTACCCAGACTTCGCAAGGGCCAGAACGGCGGTGCCTTCTGGAGTGTTTACACCCCTTGCCCTGCCAATGGCAGTGACTTCTCTGATGAGAACTACGCCGAGAGTGAGCCTTGACCTTTCAAGTGACAAACAAGATGTACGATTCTAACGAGTGTGAACGTAGGCGTCCAGTGGACTCTTGACCAAATCGACGTCATGACCCGCATCAAGGACTCCTACCCCAAGGACTTCTCCTCCAGCGCAGACAGCGGCACAGCTCTGAAAGCTTTCGAAAAGGGCCAGCTCATCTCTCCTCTGGGCGTCGAGGGTCTGCATCAAATCGGCAACTCTGTCGCCAATCTCCGACGCTACCATGCCTTGGGTGTCCGCTACTCGACCCTCACCCATAACTGCCACAACAAGTTCGCCGACGCCGCGCTGCTGGAAAGCCCTCTGCGCAAGGCAGAGCCTCTGTGGCACGGGCTGAGCCCTGCTGGTCGCCGTCTCATTCACGAGATGAACCGCGTCGGATTGATTGTTGACCTTTCCCATACCAGGTAAGTTTTGAGAAACATTGATCCCTACAGATGGCGATTCCTAACGTCCATCTCAGCGCCGAGACACAGATTGATGTCCTCGGGGGCAAGGACTGGGAAGGTAGCAAGGCGCCTGTCATCTACAGCCACAGCTCCGCGTTCAGCGTCTGCCCACACCCTCGCAACGTCAAGGACGACGTTCTCAAGCTTGTCAAGGAACGCAACGCAGTCGTCATGGTCAACTTTGCGCCCGACTTCATCTCCTGCGTCGACTCCGGCAACGAGAACGGTCTGCCCACGTACGTCCCCGCCAACGCCACACTCAATCAGGTCGTCCGTCATGTCCTGCACATTGGCAACCTGATCGGTTTCGACCACGTGGGATTCGGCTCCGATTTTGACGGAATTGCTTCAGTGCCAAAGGGTCTGGAGGACGTGTCCAAGTACCCGGACCTCGTTGCTGAGCTGCTGAGGCAGGGTTTGAGTGACGAGGACGCGGCAAAGGTCGTCGGCGGAAATGTTCTCCGCGTCTGGAAGGAGGTTGAGGCGGTTGCCGAGAAGCTGCAAAAGGATGGCCAGCCTGTTCTCGAGGATGACATCGCAAGCCCGAAGTGGTAAGAGCAGTAGATGGAAACCCGGCATCGATATACACCTCCGAGATAGGTCTCTGATCGTAGATAAGACAATGGTGAAATTGGAACCAATTTTGTTGGTACAAGTGGTATAGTTTTTCATAGTCATACATGTTTGGGCACACCACAGACCCGTCTATCTTGTACATTCGATGGTCACCCAGTGAGCACCACCTCAAAATCAACTCCTTAACTCTCCAAATACCAAGTCGACAGCCACCACGTAGGGGGCTTACCGTCGTCTGTTCGCAGTGTTGTGCTTCCTGGCCGACTCGATCTGGGTCCTCGTCCGCTGTCCTCTCACGGGGAGGTTCATGGCGTGTCTTCTTCCTCGGTAGCTTCCCATATCCTTTAGTCTCATGACGTTCTGTTGTATAACCTTCCGCGCATCGCTTTCTATCGTCATGGTCGACAGCTCTGCCGTGAGGGCCGTAACGGTTTTCGGTGGCAGAGCGCCGACTTTGGACATGGGGGAGATGGAGTATTTGGCCAGAATGCGGGAGGATGTGGTGGGTCCGAGAGCGAAGAAAGACTCGAGCGCTTTCTGTCAAAAGGGAAAATTGGTTAGCATCGTCGGCTGAGGCGTTGCGACTGGTTCGTTGTCGTTCGCAGGCGAAGGGGTTGCCATACCTTCACGAGCTTTGCCTCGGAAAAGTTGACTCCTAGGATGAAAACCTGCACAGGATCAGTCAGTTGCAGCTCAAACAACTACACTAAGGAATGAACTTACCATTGTCACCGATTTGCGACTTGAGTTCTCGAAAAGAATGTCACTGATGTCGTCGCGGGCTGCTCCGGTTCCTGGGCCTGATGATGGAATCGCGAAACTTCGAAATCAACGATGCACTCACGGAGAGTCGGCGCCGAGAAATAGTGGATCCAAATGCAACGCGGCGGCGGCGGTGCTCTTGCAGTGCTGCACGCAGTCCAGTGGCTGCCCAGCTGCATTGATAGCACTGATCCGCCCAAAAGGTGTCCCTTTATGCCATGGATGCATCCACTTCCACGGATTGCCTCCCCCCATTGGGCAGTTTCGGCGACCAGGGTCCGAGCTCGACTTCCTCATTCGCGTGCTTCAGAGAGGGGAGTTTGAAACGTAGCTCTACCGTTCCGAGGGTCCCTCTATTTAACACACTGTCCCTTCTGGCGATAACCTCTCCTCCCTTTTCCAGACGGTTTCCACTTGCATCCAAACAATCTGAATTTCTTTCCCAATTGATCGAATTCAGTGCCCAGCGTCCATCATGTTCAGCCTTCAGAGAATCGTCTCTGCCCTCCTCCTTGCCGGAGTGGCTCTGGCCTTCTTCGCGCAGACCGCTGAGGCTGCCAAGGGCCCCAAGATCACCCACAAGGTCTTCTTCGACATCACCCACGGCGATGAGCCCATCGGCCGCATCACCATGGGTCTGTACGGAAAGACGGTCCCCAAGACCGCTGAGAACTTCCGCGCTCTCGCCACCGGCGAGAAGGGCTTCGGCTACGAGGGCTCTACCTTCCACCGCGTTATCAAGCAGTTCATGATCCAGGGTGGTGACTTCACCAAAGGCGACGGCACTGGTGGCAAGTCCAGTGAGTTACATCCCATCTGAAATTTTCCTTTAGCACTGCATGACGACTGACATGGGAATTCCACAGTCTACGGCGAGAAGTTCCCCGACGAGAACTTCAAGCTCAAGCACTCCAAAAAGGGTCTCCTGTCCATGGCCAACGCCGGCAAGGACACCAACGGCTCCCAGTTCTTCATCACCACCGTCATCACCTCGTAAGCATACCCCCGCCGACAACTACAAACACGCCACATTCCGAAGCTGCGCTAACTCTGTTACCACAGTTGGCTCGATGGCCGTCACGTCGTCTTCGGCGAGGTCCTCGAGGGCTTCGACGTTGTCGAGAAGATCGAGCAGGCCCAGACCCAGCCCGGCGACCGCCCCGCCAAGACGATCAAGATCGCAAAGAGCGGAGAGCTGGAGGTGCCATCTGAAGGTATCCACGTGGAACTCTGAGCACGTACTGTGACAATCCGTCGTTCCTCGCTGTCTCTCGTTTTATCACCAACCCGACACTTTACACCACCTCACCTTTATTCTTCCCGCTGATGACCCCCCGAAATTGATGAAAAACACACAAAAAACGTACTTGGTTTGCTGATGGCTACGCCCCCCTCATTGCAGGCGAATACGGCAATAGCGAGTGGGCGTCAGGCTACTCCAACGAGGATACGCCGCTGGAGGTGGGCTCCGGCGAGGGCTGGTCCCTAATCCAGAAGGGTCTCCTCGGTAGTGTTGTCGTTGCTGCGATCGTCGCCTACATCAAGATCAGCAAGTCCAGGGCCGCGAGAGATGTCGGCTACGAGAAGACCATGGCGTAAAAAGGGAATTGACGGGAGGAAGTGGACTTCGGCTAGGCACAGGAAATACAAAACAACAAATGCCAACTAAGAAGAAAATGGCCAACATACACATATGCTAGCTATTGCCAAGTGTGTCATTTTTCGTGATGTTAAAAGTGTTACCTCTGCGTCTTGAGTTCACTTAAAGCGCAGTCCAATAGCTGCAACGCACCCATCCCAAAGCGCATCACGTGTGGGGTTCCAAAAAAATTCCGTGCTGGCCAAACCTCAACTCAAACACCACTCTACGGAATAGCGACCGACCACTTTTACGTGACGCCCAAAAGACGAAAGAAGAAAAAAAGAACTATGAAGCTCCTTAGTCTCAACTTTTTGACCTGCGCGGTCAAGGCCTGCAAGTCCTCTGCGGCCTCGTTCCCCCTCCACCCCAAGGACGCAGAGTTGGCGCAGGACGACATCGAGGTCAACCCCCAACTTCTCTTCAACGTCCTGCCCCGCTTAGACTGGGCCGCTCTGCGAACGAACGCAACTGAGGTAAGGCTTTTTATTTTCTTACTTCATAACCTCGTTTTCTTCACTTTCAATCCTACATATGAGGACGTCTTATTATCATATACCATCCAGCCTCATTTTTGTTTCTCCCATATGTCTCCTATGTGTCATCGTTGAACAAGACAGAGTGCTGACATTTCACACAAAAAGCTGGGCTTCCCCGAACTCCCCGCGGAGCCCCCCTCGGCAGAGCAGCTCGAGGGCGACGAGAAGATGCTCAAGGACCTGCACCACCTCCTCATGGAGACGCAGATCATGGAGGGCAAGCTCGTCTGCGGTAACTGCGGACACGAGTACGCCATCCGCGAGGGCATCGCCAACTTCTTGCTGCCGAGTCACTTGGTATAAAAGACAGTGCTCGGTCATGGGGTAAGTTTACAGAGACGAGAATTTGATTTGAGACGGCCGGCGAAGGCTGTAGTAGGCGTTTACGGCGTTTTTCTCTCCCCTCAAACAAGCATGAAGGCTCTGTCTGATGTGGGGGAGGGGAGGTGGGCGGCAAACAGAGGAAGAAAAAAAGGTCCATTTGTTATAGGAATACATTTCATGCCATTTGCGAGGAAAAAACACTACGTTGGTCTCTACAGACCACAGGGCCCTTTCCTGTGCTCTCTACCCTATCATGCCATGGATTTCCTCCCCTTTACTCGAAACACGCCTGTCAGAAGCCAGCCGATAACTCCCGACGTTCTCAAATGAAATACACAGGTCGTTGAAGGAGACACTCCTAGAGAGAAATGCCTTTAGGCGATTTTGATACACATCTACTGGGCCTTCTTGTGAGCCGCAGGGCCGTTCTCCTTCTCGAAAGCACCGTACGGGATCTCGAGGCTGGCAAGAGCCCTGATACCGACACCGAGTATGCTGAAGAGAACGATGGTGGCGATGAGAGCATGGAAGACGCCTATTATCATGTCAGTTCTATTCGGGACCTCACGAATCGATGGAACTCCATCACTCACCTGGGGAGAAGAAGACGTATTTCTCGAAAAGAGGGAGCTTGCTCCACTCGGTCTCGTTCTCGGCCCTCCTGACATGTCGCAGGCTCGCCTCGTGGCGCTTGAGCTCGGCGTGCAGAGGCTCGGTGGTGAACTCGGCCTCGTAGGTGGGCTCGGAGGGGCTGGCGAGGTAGATGACAGTGTACGAATCCGACGCCTTGCGCAGCTTCTCGAGGCGCTGGCCCAGGACGTGGTCGTTGTCGGCGAGCGTGGCGGCTCTCGCGTCCCGTCCAAGGGCAGCGAGCCTGGCCTCCTCGACCTCGACGGTCTTTCCCGCGCACGACTTCTTGATGTAGTAGGCCAGCTTTCCGATGGGCACCTCGCCGACGACCTCGGCGACGCTGTAGACGCCGCGGGCGTCCTTGTCGGAGATTGCGCGGCACAGGTTCGGGGACTGGCAGTCGCCGCTGGCCGGGCTGCGGATGTCGGCCGCGTTGACGTTGGGCTGGGAGACGAGGAGGTAGCGGTCTGTCGGGCAGGAGGAGAGGAGATCCTGGACGGTCTTGACGACCTGGGACTGGGCCTGGAGCTGGGCGGGGTTGGACTTCGCGAACCTAGGGAAGATGAAGGCGTGTTAGCAATGTTCGATGACGATGATAGAAAGGGTTCTGTAGTTCCGTGACGTACTCGGCAGTCGAGAGCATGATGAAGGGCGACGAGTCGGTGAAGGCCTGCACCGAGGCGCACAAGGCCATGAGGCCTGCTGTTCTTGATAGACGCATGGCTGGTTGATGTGGTTGAAAGCTTGCCCGTTGTGATGCGATGACTAGCCTTCGTCGTACTGCTAGGAGTTATGCTGCGGATTAGCTCCAGGGACGACGTAGCTTGGATACATGCGTCTAGGCGGGTTCAACGTAATCAGCAACCGCACTGGCACTCTGATAAATGCATTTCTCATATCGCCTTCCAACGAGGCCTCTCCAGGCAAGTTTCAACAAGGTGACTACTTGCCCCACCCCCTCTATAACGTTTACAGGAGCGATGCACTTGCCTCAAATCATCAACGAGCCTGCACTCACTCAATTGAGCATCTCAAGCTCCAATACGTTCCAATTCCGTGTCAGCGTCCGAACACAATTTACATGAAGGATGTCTTTAAATGACCATTTTTTCCAATTTCCAAACGATGTAGAACAATTGACTCTGAGGCTCTTCAAGACAATTCAGATTTTCATGCATATGAAGAGGGTGTCTCCATACTGAGCAGCTTTCAGTTGTCGAGGGACACTTAATAGGTAAGATGTGCAGTAAAGTCAGAAATCCGGCCGTACTCTGACCTTACTAAACGAAACACAATCGCGAGAACTGATGAGGTGCAACATAACCATCCGAACACATGTGACCGCGTCAAACAAACAAATTGACGTGAGCGGAGCTTGATGAACCTTGAAATCATCAGAGGAAATGTCAGCATGTCAGCCTGCACGGCAGTCAAGAAATCATGCAGTGAAGCCCCCTCGGGATGTCACCTGCTGGTTTCGCTGACAGATGCACCTCACCCCACGCCTAGCGGAGGTCTGTTCCAGCGCATTTAGCTCTTCGGCTTGGCCCGCGTCAGTGGGCCCTTACAGAGGCTGCAGCGGCATGGACCTGCAAGGCTGCCAGAAAAACCCCCCCATGGATGAGGCGGTCCAAAAATTTGACTGCGCCGCCAGGTCAAGAAAAAATTTACCACCACCACGAGGCAGTCAATAGTCCCCATCACCGACTTCTTCAACCAAACAGCCACAATGTTCGTCAAACCCCGGCCCAAGAAATCTGTGCTCAGCGCGCCTCCCTCCAAGAAGAGAAAGGCGGTCTCCGCAATCGAGGAGGTCAACTTCGATTTCGACGCGCGGGAGGACTACCTCACGGGTTTCCACAAGCGCAAGCTGCAGCGGCAGAAATGGGCACAGGAGCAGGCTGCCTCCAAGGCGCGGGAAGAGAAGATTGAGATGCGCAAACAGGTGAGAGGCAACCAGAGCACCCCTCCCCTTCCCTCCCCTTGCACGTGCGCAGGTTGCTGCCTGCACTGGCTCGTTGAATGAACTGACATGTCATTCTAGATCAGACAAGAGCGCCAACGAGAAGTCGAAGACCACGTTAATTCCGTGAGCGCTATACTCAAGGAGGCCCAGGCGGCAGACTCGGACGGGGATCAGGAGATCAACGGATCAGATTTCGAAGAATGGGACGGTATCGACGAGCCAGCCAAGGATCAGACAGATATCGTGGACTACGAAGACGAGTACATAGACGAGGACCGCTACACATCGGTCAAGGTCGAAGCCATATCCGTGACGCGTGACGGTCTCGAAAAGATCCACCAAGACTGCGACGAGGAAGAGAACGACAGCCAAGACGAATCCAAGGCGAAGAAGCCGGCACCCGACAGCAAGCCGGCAAAGTCGAAGAAAGAGTGGCCTAAGAAGAAGCAGAAGAAGTTCACCTACGAAACAAAATTAGAGAGGTCACTGGGAGCGAGGAAGGCAAAAGCCAAAAAGGCAAGATTTAAGAAAGAGTAGTTGAAGGAGGGTATAATATCTCGCATTGGTTGCTGCAGCTGCTTGCCCCAAGGAGTTGCCTCACGCCCAGCGTGGTCCGAGGTGGTTGTGTATAGATTCCCATCATGTCTGTGTCCGGTGAACAAAGACTAGGGGCATCTGACAGAACAAAACTCTTTGTTGGCCGGGGTTACAAAAAAAGGAGTAAAAATAAGGCTGCTACAACTCGGTCGCGAACCGTCCCGTCATTTGCATTCGACCGCTTGTTGGGATAGCTAAGTCAGATCGCCAACACAGTGTCCCAAGCCAGAAGTCTATCATGTAGAAAAGCCTTGCATAAAATGACACCCGCAACAACGGCCTTAGATGTTGCCAATCTCGGCCTGGAAGTCCTCGAGCTCCTTCTGGACCGTCGCGTACTTCTTGGCCATCTCCTCGTACTTGGATTCCCACTGGTCGCGCTCCGACTCGAGAGCCTGGACCTTGCGCTCGAAGTGGCCGGCCTTGACGTCGGTCTGTCTGAGCCTATGAAAAGACGGTGTAAGTAATGAGTATGCATCGGTCGGTCGTTCGGTGGGGCGGGCTTTAATGAACACGATGGGGGTCGAAGGGTGAAAAAGGGGGTATCATCGATTCGGCAAACAGGGTCCAGAACGTACTTCTCGTTGGCTTCCCGAAGGGTCTTGTCCGCCTCCTCGGCCTCCTCCTCGAGGAGCTGGAGTCTGCGCTGGAGAGTCTCGTTTTGTGTGCCGGTGCCAGCGCTCTCGTCGGCAGCCTTCTTGAAGTCCTTAACTGCAGTCTCAAGCTTCTCGACTTCGCCCTCGAGCAGACCGTTCTTGTGCTGCAAGGAGGTGATCTCCTGCTCCTTGGACAGGTTCTCCTGCTCCAGGGACTTGACCTTGGTCTGAAGCTCCTCAACCTTTGCGGCGTTGTCGTCGGCCTCCAGACGAAGCTGGTTCATTTTCTGATTGGCACCGTCGTCGTCAGCATCGATGACACGACACCATTGGGGATATCTTACCCCTCCAGACCGCCGGTAGCAGTCGGGTGGGGCCAGACTCAGAATGGCGAACTTACCTCCTTGATACGGTCCATGATGAATAGCTGCGAGTTGCTTTGACGTTGTAGTAGAGTCGGTGCAGGGTGATTGCGATAAGGAGAGTTTGCTGGAGTTGAGAACAGGAACGGGATCGGTGGATGTGGGATCGCAGCTGTCGGGGATGGAAACGGGAGGAAAGGGTGTGAGGTGTTGAAATAACTGCCCCTCTACCTGCAAGTCCGCTCCATGCGACCTGTGGCGGACCACCCTCAGCATGCCAGCAGCAGCCAGACAAGCCTGGGTCTTCGCACGCTGAAAGGAAGCTGCAATTGGATTAGCTCAGACGCGGGCAGTGGGGTCAGTCAGGTGGGGTGGGCTGTAGCCTGTGGCACGGTGCAGCGGTGCAGCGGTGCTTTCCCTAAGGTAATTCCCAGAGGTGAATTTTCTACGGGGGTTTCCGCAGGATCTGAGCTTCTCTCGTGGTTGTCCCGACAACGACGCCCCAAACATACGGGTCCGTTTACGATCTCTATCGCCTTTTCAACCCATGACAGACTCCAAAGTGAAGGGATTGATGACGACAATACAGCAACACGCAATAACGATACACCACGACCAAAGAAGACACCAAATTCACGACAAAATCGACGACACCTCTGGCCTTATGCAAAATGCTGGCCCTTCGTGACGAGAACGCGGTCAATGCAGCTCAAGCTGCTCGCCATGCCCCCGGAAAAGGGCAGCTGGCTCCCAAGACCCCTGGAGCCCGATACCCAAAGACGCCCTTGAAGATTCCCCTCAACGACGAGAACGCTGTTGGAGGAGCCAAATCCGTGCTCGCTGCCAAGTCGAATACCAACGGAAACATTCAACTCACGGCAAAGAAGCAGAACCTCATCACTCCTTCTGGTAACACTCCCGATTTCGTCATATGAGGGATCAAAAGTGACTGACATCCCTGACAGAGACACGAGCTCGGGCGCCCCTCGGAAACAAAACCACCAATGCAAAGGCTAGGGCCACTCAGAACACCGGAGGAAAGGATGGCGAGAAAACACAGTCGAAGCCTACGACGACGAAGAAGCTGAAGCAGCGGTCTCCCAGCGTCGGCCCTCTCAAGCTCGAAGTCCGTAACGATCAGGCTGGGCCAGCCGAGGAGCCTGATGTCGAGTATGCCCCTCCTACCGTCAAGGATTTGCCCTACGAGTCGGATGTCCTCTCCAATGGAGACTTGACGTTTGAGGGACTCAAGCCCGAGAACATGTTTAAGGGATACTATAACCACTTCTACAACCCCATGGGCGAGGATGGCGTCAGACTTCAGGACAGGCAGCATCAGGAGAGGCTCCAGAAGGCTCTTAAGGAGAGTGACGAGCGTATCCTCCGAGACATTCAGGAAATGGACTGGTCCGTCTCGGACGTTCCGGAGACTTCCGCCATTTCTCAGCGAAAGGCACCAGCCCCGGCTCCTAACCCGGCCGTCACCAGAAAGGCGGTTGGAGGTGCTCCCAAGTACCCGCCCACGATCGCTTCTAGAAGAGCCGCCTCTGCTCTGTCAATGTCCACTGGTAACACTATCAGACAGAAGAAGGTTGTCGAGCAAAAGCCTACGGTTAGAAGACCAATCTCTTCTATACTTCCGCGGACCAGACCCACCAAGCCTGCTGTGGCCCCAAAGTCTTCGGTCGCTGAAAGTGCCATGGGAGAAGCCGTGTCGAGAAACACGCTGGGCTACACAAAGGGTCGCTCAGCCTCTTCCTTTGTTAGCGGGCGCCCGGCGTCTGCTGCGGCTCGGTCAGTCTCGACAGATGCGAAAACGACCCTAGCCCCAAAGATGACCATGAGACGTGACGCATCTCCCCAGAAGCAGAGACAGGAGGCCCGAAACGACAGCGAGGAGCTTGGAAAACTCCAGTTCCTATCCATCTTTGATCCCGCTGGGGACGACGAGGATGACGGCATCGGCAGCGCGGGTCCACGAAACGAAGAGTTCGAGGACGATGAGTTTGAGATGAAGTTGACATTTTAATCGGTCAAATGGGTTGATGGATGGCGTTTGGAGATGATTACCCTCATTTGTAAAACAACAGGACGGCCGGGGACTAGGAGGCGTTTGGCTGGCATCGTTGCCCAAATGCAACGCCCGGGAGGTCGAACGGGCGATCAAAGAATGTGTTCGCGATCAGGGCTTGCAATGACTGTATTTACTTTGTTAGACTCTGTATGACTTATTACCCTGCAGGAATTGTTCAGACCAGGGCGAGGCTTTGTTTCTCGTAGCAAGCCGCAGACGCCTGCATCTATTACTTCAGTTCATTGATTTGCATTTTAACTTTCGACAGTCTTTTATGGTCTCACGTGCTTGCCGCCAATCAACAATCTCGAGTTGACATTGGAGAGCGGTGTAAACAAGTAATATCTCTCTCTGACCCAGTGATTGGAAAATGGAATTATTGACAAGAGGTTTATCAATTACTTCATTGGTTCGCCATGATGCAACGGGGACAGTTTCTGTGGTGCCCCTGTCCTTCACGGCCTTCCATTGCGAGACGCGAAAAATGAGTAAAGTGGAAGGTCCGACGACGCGACTCTCAGTTGCCAGCTGTCAGAACTGGGAAGAGGCAGCTTCATCTCCACCCACATCGGTGGTTGTACCCAACACCCAAACTTTGCAGGGCGATACTTTCTCTCACGCCCGTCCTCGTAACGCAGGTCCCGTCTGAGCATCCATGCGTAACGGTGCTCCCTCGCCTTGTTCCGTGGCTGGTCTCCGCTAAATCGCATCCCTGAAAGATTTGGACACTCTTCAACCTCCAACTTTCTGACCTCACTACTACATTTTCTCCAGCCTCATATCCGTCAGTCGCATCGCACGACTCATCCGGCCTTATTTGCAAACTTGCTGATTGATCGCATCGATCCTGAGCCCTTCGCGACTGGGAATCTACCTTCATTGAATGACGCAGTCGGGCTCTTGCCCCTTGCCATTCACCCGTGTCGGTAGCTACGTATTGGTCGCGTGAACAGCGAATCCGCGACCTCTCCTCCCGCTACACCGCTCCGGCCGCTGTCGTCGGCGATGACCTCTGTCCTTTAATATCATCCGACATACAAGAGACGATGGTTGGTGGCAGGCGAGAGCGGTGAAAGCTGAACAACCTCACGATGACCCGCCAATCTTCGGCGAGCTTCGCGCAGTTCTTCCCTGCAGCCCCCCGCGTCACTAGGGACAGAGCCAACGAACGAGAAAAGGCAAAGGCCAAGGTTCAAGACTCGGCAGTTGGTCTGCTTAGCGGCTCCAAGAGCAGCGGCACCCCTTCGGTCAACGGCACGGCTGGAGAAATCTCATCTACGGCTGATGGCCTACCTTCCGACACTTCACAACAGCCACACGACGGCCATGAGTCGCCTCTAGGAGATACTCTCAACGCTGTCGGATCTGCAAGCTCATACGCGAGTACGGGCTCATCCGTCTTCAGTACAGCTGCGCGACAAGCCGTCTCCAGCGGCATATCTCATATCCCTCCATCGAGCGGCACGCCGCTCACCTCCATTGAATCACCTTCATACTCGGGCAATGCTGCCTTACCGAAAACGACTATGCCACAAGCACAAAACACCGATCGGGGTGAGGCAGCGGTCTCTCTCAATACCCCAACATCCCGCCTAAACAGCTCACTCCCGGAGCCATATCCTCACATTGAGCGCATTCCCGCGCGAGATCCCAACCGATCGCGAAAAGGCTTAAAATGCACATATGATCCCTTCAACGACCGGACCCTATCGAAGCACGGCAGGAAAGATGCCAAGCCGATATACAAGGAGTTTGGATTGGTACGTACAAATACAATAAAGCTGCCCATTGAAGGCGGAGGGGGAGGCGTCATCTTTTGTGTGTGTGAGCTTTGGCTAATAAACTGAGTAGGAAGATGACGCCCCCCCTCCAGACCCTCGTCTCGCCAAAGGCGGACGGTTGGGTTATATCAATACCGATTTTCATCTCCCAAAGTCCCGATTACGACAATCGCCTTACAACTTGAAACCATATGTCTATAGCCCCAAGACATCAGTCGGTCCTGGGCCGCCTACGCAGATTGTTGTTACTGGCTTCAATCCCCTCATCACCTTTTCAAAGGTGACGGCGGCCTTTGCTTCGTTTGGCGACATTGCTGAGAGCAGTAACAAGATGCATCCTGAGACGGGCAGCTACCTAGGTTTCGCAACGTTTCGGTATAAGGATGCGCATCCCAGCAGGTCGAGACCCAACCCAATTATGGCCACTGAATCAGCGCGCCGAGCTGTTAAAGCCATGCATGGGCAACGAATCGAGGCAAACACAATTCGAGTCGAATACGATCCTGAAGGAAAGAAAAGTCGTCGCATGCTTGAGGAGGTTCTGCAGAAAGACAGAGCTACACGGGATGCTTCTATTGCAAAGGCGCCGCCCACCGGTCCTCGAATCGCGCCCGAAAAGGTTCCTGGGCCACCACCCATGGCACCAAAGGGTCCTTCTTCTCACAGACAGGCCGTGGCTGGGGTGCCAGCGTGGGTTCCAAGCCAACCCAAGATGCACATTGCGCTCGAAGAGAAGCTTGTCGCGAAGCAGCTTGCAGGCGAGCCGTACATCTTTGTTGCGCACGAGCATGTCCCAGTCATGGTTACGACAATCCCTCACATGAAGAAGCGACTTAAGGCATTCGCCCTTGAGGACATTCGCATTGACCGAACGGGATATTACATTCTATTTCCCAACTCATTTCACGGACGCAACGAGGCTTCGAAGTGCTATAGAGCAGCAAACCATACCGACTTGTTCACGTACAATATGGTGATGCAACTATCGCTCCCGCCTACGACAAATCAAGATTCCGAACCTGCAGCTCCACCACCACGACGGCGGACCCCCAGCCCCGAACGCAAACGTCGAACGGATATACGAGTGCGCGAGGACAAGGATCGTCGTCGTCGTGAAGAGGAAGCAGACCTCGAGGAAGAAAAGCGACAGAGAGCTAAGAACTTTGATCCGGTCCTCGAGGCTTGCGAAGTGGTCACCCGAGAGCTAGCAGAACATTTGATCAAACACATACGGACAAGAGTTGCCGCTCCTGCTCTGACGGCCTTTCTGGACCCAGCAAATCATGCCACGAAGCGACGAAAACTCAACTTGGAGGATCCAGCTGGATCTGTTCCGTCTGTCACTGTCAATACTGGCGACGAGAGCCCTGGAGTCAGCACCCCCAACTCTGGCGCAGATCCAATTGAGCGTCGCACGGGTCGCCTGGAAATCGCTGCTCTGCCACGTATTCGTAAGGCCAAGGCTACTGCCCAAGGAGCCTCGCGCAATCACGGCTTCACAGATCCGTTCTCCCGCAAGCGCGCAGCACAACAGAGCCGTGGTGCCTTCCGATCATTGCACCATCGTCTCAAGAGCTACGACAGCGATGCAGAATCCGATGATGAAGCCGCCGTCAGAGAGTCTCTGGCGAGGGATACTGAAGAGCCCGACTCACGACCCCGTAGCCGCATGAGCACAGACGATGACATCAAGGATGACTTTGCCTCCTGGGGTCCCGGCGAGGAGGACTCCATGACTGAGGCGAGTTTCGCTGTTGGCGATGGCTTAGCCCCGACGAAGAAGAGGAAACTTGACCTAGAAATCCAATCGGCCATCAAGCGCCAGAAGAAGTCCGATGAAGAACTATTTGGGGTTCACTTGGAGGGCGTCGAGCCTGACCTGCTGGCCTCTTCAGAGGCCACCCCTGACGTTGACTTACTCGAGACACAGAGCAATCGCTCTGAGACTCCTGCTCTATCGGCCGCCAAGGGGCTGGCAAAGAAGCAGAAGTCAAAGAAGAAGTCGAAGAGGCAAATCTTTGAGGAACGGGAGGCCTTGAAGAAGCAGCAAGTTCAGACTCCCACAGAAACGGGAGAGGAGACGCCAGCCCCGGTCAAATCCTTGCCTGAAGAGGTCGAGCCTGAGGTGTTGCCAGTAGAGAAGATAGAGGAAGAGCCAGAGCCCAAGAAAGCCAAGGCAGATCCCTCGTTATTCACTACAACGCCAGCCCCAGCCCTCGGCCTGTCTGGCGATTTCAGGCTCGATATCTCTGCATTACAAGAGCTGTCGTTATCCGCGGCTGACAGCCCAGATACCTCGAAACTCAGGAAGAGGTTTGCAGGGGCAGATTTCGGCGACCCGCTTCTGTGGTTATGGAGGCGTAATCGCGTCCGGGAGCTCAACTCCGCCACTGGATCGGTTGACCAAGCTGTGGGCATCGAAGGCTACTACGTACCCAACTCCACCGGTGCTGCACGAACTGAGGGTGTCAAGAAGATTCTTAATGCCGAAAAGTCCAAGTACCTGCCTCACCACATCAAGGTCCAAAAGGCCAGAGAGGCACGTCAAGCGCGGTACAACAAGGACGGCAAAGACGCAGCCATTGAAGCTAGCAGACTTGCTGTGGCAGAAAAGGCCGTGGCGAAGGGCAATTCGAGAGCGAATCGCGCCAATAACCGTCGACATGTCTCTGCACTGCAAGATGAAAAGAAGATTTCGGGCGACTCGGATGCGTTCAAGTTCAACCAGCTTAAAAAGCGGAAGAAGCCTGTCAAGTTTGCCCGATCTGCTATTCATAATTGGGGTCTATACACGGAGGAGAATATCAACAAGGACGACATGATCATCGAGTACGTCGGTGAGCAGGTCAGACAATCGATCTCAGAGATTCGGGAGAAGCGTTACCTCAAGAGCGGCATGGGCAGCAGTTATCTGTTCCGCATCGACGATAACACGGTCATCGACGCAACCAAGAAGGGTGGCATTGCTCGCTTCATCAACCACAGCTGCATGCCCAACTGCACTGCCAAAATTATCAAGGTCGACGGAACCAAGCGGATCGTTATCTATGCGCTCCGCGACATTGCTCAACGTATGCTGCCCAAGCTCGAACCCCTTTTTTGTGTATTTACGTGAAGCTGACATTGCGCAGATGAGGAGTTGACATACGACTACAAGTTTGAGCGCGAGATTGGCAGCTTGGACCGTATCCCCTGCCTTTGCGGTACGGCGGCATGCAAGGGATTCCTCAACTAATCTCGATCGGCCTTTCTGGTGTTATTGGTGGCTGGGCTGCACCTTTGCATTCGCCCTTTGTATTTCTCAGGACAAGTTGCCTGCTGGAGTTGGGACCTGAACTCATTTCCTTGGTGGAGGCGGGCATCTTGCCGCCTCTGATTTTCATCACCTCAACGCATACCCATTTGGATCTGTCTCCTGCGATTATACTATATGCATAACAACCAAGGCAAAGGGAATGAAGACGAAACTTTGGGAGGAGGTGGACGGGGTAAGGGGGGAAAAAAACTAGTGTATCATGATTCACTTCGAATAGCTGGCGTTCATGTTTGGGTGGAAGGGGGGCTTCTTCATCAAAACACTTAGGCCTGGTGAAGCCCAGAGCTTCACATTGGCCCCCGAAATCTGGTGGAGGAAGAAACGAACGATGAGGAAAAGAAATGCCTCTCTACAGTGAGCGAGGCAGAGAGCCACGCCACCCTTTCTAGGTAATCTGGGCGTATATCCGCACACAAACACAACCACAAATGTACATATGGCGGAAGGGGTTACGTTAGTATTGAGAAGAGACTCAATCAAGGCGAAAGTACTACTTATTTCAGATGCTCAGGCGATGCCTGTCTTTATCTATGTTCTCTTACCTTGTGAAGTTGCTGGTGCTGTCTGGAGACTGAGGTTTCTCACAAAGGCGCTGAGGGGGTATAACGGTCCGCTGAATTCCATGTCGTACCTGGTGTGGTGGTCAGTATGCCGGGGGTACAACCCGCGATGCGTGGACATGTATAAGCTTACCAGTAGTTGACGGCGAGAACGAAGCCTTCCTCGTCCTCCGGGCAGGACTGAGAAACCTTGTGGTACCACATGGCGGGGAGGTAGAGCATGTCACCCGGCTCCAGCGTGACGCGGACGGGCTCGGCGAGGTGAGAGTAGGGCGTCGCGTTTACCTGCGGTTGATCCGGATCCCACGTTGCAAAGGGGATGGGATCTGGTCTTGTCGTTTCTTCTTCACCTTCTCCATCTTCTGCTTCTGCTTCACTACCTTCGGCCCGGTCGAGATTCAACACCAGCTCGCCACCGTCTTCTTCTCCTTCGCCCCGACGACGACGAGAATACGTCGCGGGCGCGAGGGCCGTCTCGTTGACGCAGGGGTGGCAGCAGGGCGGAAGGAGGACGAAGTGTTTCCGGCCGCGGACCTGGACGTAGATGTTTTCGTAGTTGTCCTTATGGAGGGCTGTGACGGAGCGGGAGGCGCCGATCCAGAGGTTGATTGCGTCTGGGTCGCGGTCGAGGGCGATGCGGGCGAAGGGGATGGAGGGGGGTACGTGGGTGAAGAGGGGGAGGTATTCATTGCGGAGGTTATCGTTTTCTTTGGGATGAGTGTTAGTTACTAATCAGGATGTTGAGATTGTATGAAGGTGGGTGAGTTTGGATGTGATTGGGAGGGTTGATCATGATTGAAAAATGAAGGTAAGTGAGGATGAGTGGTGAGACGGCTGAGAGCATGGAATGACATACGTGTTTGAGCATATCTGACTTCTGAGGCCGAGTCTTTGCTCTTTTCTTGGTTGATTACATAGTTGAGAAACTTTTCGAAATCCTGATCCTCCTCGTGTGGTTTCGCGAAAACGACGCTTCCTTCATGCGCGGTTGGAGCGTCTGCATTACTGCGTATTAACCGTGTAAGTCGAGGATCGTGAAATTCCCACCCCTCCGAAATGAGGGGGGCACAGAAATTTCCTTTTCAACTCACCCAAAAGGCGTTACGGCAACATTGACAGTTTGATCTTTAAACATGCGCAGCAGATACTCCTTATCCCACGTCTTATTCGACTGCCAGGAGGTCGATGCGCCGCGGACGACAAAAGGTGTGTTGCGGGCGACGTAGCGCATGAACTCGAGGGGGCTCGGCTCCTCGTCCAGCTCTTCGATGAAGGCGCCGTTGAGCTCGTTGTATGTGGTGATGAGCTCGGCCAGGGGGTCCTCCGGGGCCGCCTGGGCTTGTGAGCTCATGTTTTGTTTGTCTGCTTCGGAGACTGTGAAGATAGTGATCGTTCACTTGAGGTACCTCACTGAGAGTGAGTGTGAGATTGAGAGGTGTGTGTGTGTGTGTGTGTGTGTGTGTGTGTGTGTGGTTGCATGACTAAGGTTGCAGCTGAACCATTTGCGAAAATTGCGGCGATGGGGTTACTTGAGCTTGAGTGCGAGGTTCCCCCAGTGTGGTTGATTACCATTGGTTGGCAGCGTTGGAATTGTATATATTTTGGTTTACACTGTAAATTAACATATCAGAAAGCTTCTAGAATATTGAATGTCTCATTCACTCATGAATTGGTCCTATTTGGTGTAACCAGTTTGCAGTGTTTGAAAGTCCCATGTCATTCACCTCAAATTCGGCACCCGCACCGCAACGGCCCGTGTACGAGTGCCAGGCCCCGATATGAAATATCACAGCCGGCACGGAATCTGTACCCCGGAATTCGGGCCTACCACAAACGCAAATAAGAAAGAATGAATGCATTATCTTCGCGTGCTCCATTCAGCCTCCCTCCACGCGAGCGCAAGGGTGTACCTACCTTACCATTGGCATTGGGTTCAGGGCGCCTGGGGTTTGTTTGCCGAATGCTGCCCACGGGAATCAACGGGCACGATGGGAAGGGGTCCTGCGGTGGGTTGGGAAAGGGACTTGGGGGAGCACGAGGCACGCCGCACGAGGGTCCCGTTCCTTGGGCCCTGCGGTCCCTGGGAGGGGAGGGGAAAGAAAAAGGTGGTGCCAACCGCACAGGGCAAAAGGGAGCGGAGCCAATGAGCAACACGGCGCGAGTGGGAAGTCAGGCCACTTGAGCGTCTTCATGGCCTGATTATGATGAGTCCCAGTGATTCAGAGAGCTTACCACGGCCCATGGCCCACGCAAGGTGTGATTACCGGTGTGTTTGCTTTTGCTGCCGTCTTCATTTCTAGCTGTGTACGGAGGATGGTGCTGCGAGATTGCCCATCTGATTAATTATAACTTAGGCAGATCTGAGTCTGGGTTGGCGGCTGCAAATGCTGGCCAGGGGATTCTTGTCGTATATAGAAAGGCCTGTCCCTTCCCTCCATCCTCTTGGGAAGCTTCTCCGACACCCGACTGTCTTACACCAAGTACCGTAGTATCGTGAGGTTATACTCACTGAGCACATACACCCGCAGCTTCCCTGCTGACAACATCAACATCAACAACGTAATGCCACAGCGACGGCTCTGATAACAGCCACCGGTATCGCTATCAAAGATGATGGGCATCAACGGAAGGGCCTTGTCAGCCAGTCAGCCTTTGGGCACAAAAGCTTCGTCATCGTTCTATTCTTCGACCATCTAGCTCCATCGCACGTCGGACTTCCAACTCCAATGAGGCATTCATCACGGTCGATCAGGAACCCGAAAGCAGCCCCCCTGGCGCGAAAAGCTACCCGGACCAAACACGAACGTCGAGCTCGCCACGCGACTCTTGCTACACACGACACATGCCAGACCGTTCTCGCCAGAAAGCATCCGCGTTCCAGAAGAGGAGCGATGACAGCGCCTGGCTGTCGCAGCGCCAATCGAGCTCACGGACCTACCGGTACGAATACGCAACACCGATTTCTTTCACGCAAACATGGGCAAATTCCCCCCAGTACCACGGTCCGATCCACGGGCGGGATGATGGGAAACTTCGACCAGCATGCCCGCTAAGACATGGGCTTCGACCCTTTCGCTTCGCCGGTTCCAGCACAGCCATATTTCCAGGGTTCCCTAAGCTGGACCCTTTTGGGGGGGATGTTGCCGAGGCCCACCCAGGAACTGGACCTTTGCAAACCGGTCTCGGGCCAAGTTGAATAGGATGCCGGCCGCTGCGAGCTACCCCAACCGAGCGTACCACCACGATACGAGGTGGGAAAACCACGCAGCTTGACTTACACGGACACATCCAACAATTCTGCAGGAACCACGGACGCCCGGTCCCTTCCAAACGAGCATCATTGAGTTTCTCCTCTTGGGCAACTTGGCTGCGGCGCTGCCTGATCTTCAAGCGAAGACGAGACAGCAGGTGTCCTCGACGACGTGAAGGAGGGTGCCACGACTCATGAAGGGCGAATCAGCAAAGAAGCGCGCGCCAATGCTCCTGCGGACAGTTTCTCCAATCCGTTCCATCGATACCAATGGTGCCTTTGCTGGCTGGCTCGCTGGATGGGAAACTGAAAAAAAAAAAAGGCACCATGTCGGCACCATTATCCGACTGTGGAAAGATGTACGGTTCTACTGGACGCCAAGACAAGCCGCCCTGCCGAACTCTTCAAGAAGTCTCCGGTCGGTCCAGAAGTTCCAGGCGGCCCAGTCAGGACCCAGAGAAAGAGAGAGAAAAGGAAAAGCGAAGAGAGGGAGCGGAAATGTGACACTCTTCTTCAGTTCTGGAATGTCGCAGAAAGCTTATCAAAGGTCTAATGTTTGAGACTTTACGCATCACTGGCACAGCTTGGCTGTTTTTGGCTAGCCGCCCACAGCAGACACAAGACGTCTTCCATGTTCCCTCACTCAAAGGTAGGGGAGAGGGGAGAGGGGAGGGGCCAGCCATCCGGAGTGCTTCCCTCAGAGACACAGAGCGCACACCCGTTGCCTGTGGAAAGCAAAAGTTGCAAGCCAGGTGCTTGTGCTTGTTTCCCTGGTCTTTGTGCTTGAGGTGTCTCGAGCTTCGCTTTCATCTCAGAATCCCCCAAGTTTCTACTGTTTAACTTTCTTCTACTCAAAAATAGGCCCCAAACTGCCCCTCAACTTTATTTCTTCTCCCTTGTCTGACACTCCATACCTGTGGAAGCTTGCAATGTTTTCTGGTCCAGATCGTTCTTGCTCTGGCTGCGTCTGGTTCCCCTCCCCTATGCGGCATGCACTAGGTGCCGACACACCGATGCACACCTCGACAGCTGGTGCGGTCTTCCTTGAGAGAAACCGTTTGACGTGTTGCTTCTTTGACGCAGGCAGGGCATTGTTGGTTGGTCGACCTACGGATACCCGTGGTAGTCGATCACTAGTGGCCCTCATCCTCCTGCTTCTGTTGCAATGGGAGAACTTCTTCTCTGTTGTTGGGTTGTCTCACCATCCAAAGACGTGCAGACGTCAGCGCTGGTACCCAGCTCAAGGGGGGGGGGGGGGGGGGGGGTCAGGTTTTAGTGGGACGATCCCCCTATCAGACACCCCAGAGCTGGAGCAGGGACGGTCTCCAGCTTGGCAGTGACGCCAAAACGCCCCTGGCTTGCCCCCCCCCCCCTTACGCTGGTACGCAGTATGAGGTCTATGGCTTTTCTTCGCCTTTCCTGCTTGCGAGTTGCAAGTACCAAACAAGTCGTTACAGTCTCTTCCAGGTCTCAGAGACACACTTCAAGTACCGAAACATCAGGGCGAGCAGAGTCATCGATTCCATTGTCGCTCTCTTGCCCCCCCTTCCCCCAGACTCAAGTGCGTCTACGGTTACTTCATTCTTCGACCCTGCAGGTCGCATTCTGAATCTCAGGTTGAGGACGTCTCCGTCGCGCGTTACAGGGGTCGGAGGAGCCCATGTTCCACTAAGTTTTCCTGTCCACCTCACATTGTAGGGAAAGTCGTCCCATGTTCCCCGACAGATGCTGCCACCAAGCCACCACCATCGGCAGGTTCCATGGTTCCACCTCTCCCCCAAAAGATACCTGCCCAGTACCGTCTGCCGGTCCAGGTACCTGATCCTGAGTCCTGAGGTGGCCACTACTTGTGCCAAGCAACCACTTCAAGGCTCAAGGTGCAAGGTGAGGGGAGCGCATACACGGTTCCTTAGAGGGCCGCTCTGAGATTCTAGCGCGGTACTGCACGGTACGGACACACACGCCTACCTAGTCCAAGGAACCTTAGCTGTGCCTCACACCTCGCACCTTACCTTACGGGATACCTTACTTGACATTGGATCGCACCTTTCCCGGTCCATCTGGTGGTGTTGCTAGTCCTGTCTCTGTTCACCTCTCTCCCAGCTTACCACTTACCACCACCACCACCAACAACAACCCGATCGATCACATCGCCGTACCTTAAACTCCCACCACCTGCACAGAGGGTACTCGATCATTTCCGAACAACTGCCCTTCCTTTCTTCTCTCCACGCTGGGGTCTCTCAGAAAGGTTTTGATTTGTCTTGGCCGCATACTATTTCTCCGCATCCCTCTCGTTTCGACCAAGATTGCATGCACCACACCACCCACCACCACATCGCGCCGCACTGCAATCCCATTGAACCACCCATCCACTCACACCGAAGCAGCGACTACAGTCGGTCCTCCGGTGAACATCAACCAGTCGACTCCCAACCCAACTGATCCGCCCCTCCGTCCTGCATCTAACACAATCTTTCACAACGTCTTCTAAGCCTTCGCCCAGGACCAGCGCGACACTAACAATTAGTCTTGTCCTGGCGTTCTTTTTGGCCCCGTCGCAGCTGCCCGCCGCCGTCGTTCCATTATTACACACCTCGACCGACACGCGATCGACCGACCAACGTGGGACCCGACTGACCACGTCCTGTCCCCGTCCGCTTCCACACAACCTCTACACCAGTCGCCCGCATCCCTCCTCCACTAGAGGACCCTATTGTTTGCAAAAGCTTCCTTCATCCTTCTCCCTCGCGTCGAGAATACTCTCCGAACCAACGATCCCCCGGTCGCACCGCATGTTCGATTCCTTTGGCCGCCACACCTGAACCGTCAGTGTCGAGTCGAATCATGAGGAGGACCACTTTCACTTGCAGACCGACAACAACATTGCTATCCTCTACAGTTTAACACTGAATGGATCACAAACTCAACTAAGCAGCTTCTGCAACTCTGCAAATTCAACTCCCAATTCTTATGCTGCTGCAGTCGCTGCAAGTCTACTTGCAACCGTCGCCGCAGATGATTTGGTATCTCTTGTATCCTTTGCGAGGGTATGCAATCCCTCTCTTTTCTCCGACCCAGGCTGGTGCCACTCATCATGCATCAGCCCCATTGTAATGCATGTCCTGACTGACCTGCCTTCAGAACGACGGAAGCTCCAGCCCTTGCCACGAACCATCCTCTCCGCCGAGCCTTTGCGCGATACGGTCGATATGCCGCGAGACACGTAGTCACGACTCTCATCATCTCTGTCACCGTCGCCGCGATCCTTATATACCCCTTCCCGTTCCTCTACACCTCAGATCTGAGCAATGGCGCCTCCAACTTGCCCCATCATGTGTGGACTGCTGCGCAGCCGCTCAAGGAGAACAGCACCGAATCCGACGTCATAATGCGATCCATATGGGTTCACGGCAGCTATATGAAAGCATTGGACCGCGACGTACTGCTAGGCGCGCTTGAATTGCAGGATGAGCTGCTGGGTCCCACCAAAGATTTCAGCCCACGGCGGCCCGTAACGTCCCTCCGGGCCCACGATCCGTATGCAGATCTTGCCCCTCGAGACCGGGATGCATTCCACGTCGTCAATGGCCTCACCAACCAGTCGTGGTTCTTCTCTTCGCCACTTCAGTACTGGGCCTGCTCCAATGATCGCATAGCTTCCGATTCAGACATAATATCAACCGTCAATGCGCGGAAGACACAACCGACCTCAGTCAATGTCACTCTACGACACTCAATCGTCTTTAGCGGCAAGCGCTTCGAAGATCGGAAACTTCTTGCCGCCGATGCCCTTGTCATCACATTGATCCACTTGCGCGATTCACCGGTCGGTCGCCAGTGGGAGAGAAAGGCCGAAGCGCTCGCGAATCGGATGAAGGACAAGTGGACAGCCTACCCAGCCGACGGGAGAAGCATGTCGAGCCAGCTGTACGAATTTCAATTCATGCCCATTTCCGTGCAAGACACAGTAATTCTGGCGTTGGCATACGGCCTAGTCGCAATTTATTTTCTGTACAGCCTCTCCAAGCTGAGGCGGGTCAAATCCAAGTTCGGCCTGATAGTTACAGTCTTTGTCCAGATTGTCGTATCTATCATGTCGAGCTTTACAGTCTGTGCCGTTTTCCGGGTGGACTTGTCCGGAATTCCGCAAGCGGCATATCCGGTCGTGGTTCTCTCCATGAGCCTCGAAAACATATTCAGACTTATCAACGCCGTCATCTTGACTCCCTCGGAGAACAGCACGAGTAGTCGAATTAGCCGTGCGTTTGGAGAAACAGCACATGTTGCGCTAGCCAGTTCGGCACAAAACGTACTCATTCTATGGGGACTGTCCAAACTGGTCTCACCGGGCGTATCCGCCTTTTGCACATTTGTGGCCGTTGCTATTGTGTTTGACTTCTTTTACTCATCAACCTTTTTCTTGGCGGTTCTCAGTGTCGATGTGCGACGCACAGAACTCAGTGACGCGCTTGCCAAAGCATCACTGAAGAACAAGAGGTACGGGCAGGAGCAGCAGCCAGCGAATAGGAGCTGCTTCGAGGCAATGCTGCAGGGCAAGATTGCCCTGTCCACGCGTATCGCAGGCACTGTCATCATGATCACGTTCGTCTTGATTGTCCAGTGGCATTTTTACGAGAATGACACTTTCGTCCGGCTGGCGCGCGGAATTTTCAGGATCTCCAGAGACACAGTCAGCTTCAGCCAACCGAAGAACTCTATGCTTCTCGACATTCACCAGGCACGAAGCCCAACATCTTGGCTTCGGCTTCAAGACCACGAAAGCGCTCGCGAGGTTATCAACGTCATCAAGCCCAGATCCCACAGTTACATCGCTCGGGTATATGACCCTCTAGTATTCGTCCTTAAGGGTGCGGATCGGACACCCGTAATGCCCGAGCGTCCACTACTCCCGGCTCTCTACGACTTCATCGATCATCACCTGAAGCACTTTCTCGTCACTGTGCTATTCATTCTATCTGCCGTCCGTCTTCTCATGAATTACCTACTATGGGGAGACGATGCTGAGTCGAGACGCAATGACGACATGGGAGATCAACCCCTTTTGGCTATTGAATCTCTACCCGAGGCCCATTCCCTGGACATCGCTCTCATGTCTTCGTCATACGACGGGCACATTATTTCCGTCGGTCTGGACCGCTCGATTCGTGTTTGGGACGTCAGATCTGGCGTCAGAGACTACTCGCTAGCCGACATCGAAGCACCCCCCGAAGACCCATTTCCGGTGTTGGCAGTTGCTACTGACAAGAAGTCTAGCTGGTTAGCCTTGCTGTCTTCTCACAAGGTTTTCCTATGGAACTTGGTTGAGCATCGATGGAGTCAGCCGATCCCGGTTGATCTGAAAAATCAGAGGCCTGAGAAGCCTGAGGGATTCTTCTTCGGTACGCCGACTTTTGACTTCTCAAGCCCACTCGTCATTGTGCGACGAAACGGAACAATGATACAGATCATTCCCGGTCAAAATGAGCCGATGGAATTCTCCATCTGCAAGAGCTCTTTGGTCTCGGTTCGCCCACTGGTACAGAAGATCGCCCCCGGTGGCACTTCGCAACTGTCTATCCTGACAGCGTCGAGAAAAGGCTGTATACATGTTGCGACACAGCAGCGGGACGACTCGTGGATCTCACAGAGTCTCGACGTGCACACAGCCGAAGACCGCGGGGCATCCCAGGTAGTGGCACTGTCGGCACTGGGTTCGTTCCTTGTGGCTAGGTCTCGCACAGTTGATCTTGTCGATGCAAAAACGAAGGCGCTGCTTCACACCTTTGAGACGGATTCGATTCAGCCGCGGTCCTTGAGATGTTTTCACTCGTCGCGAAGAAAACCTCAATGTGGTTCAATCGGACTTGTGTCATTCGGTATCGCATACACCCATGCGGAGAAAGGCGACTGCGTCATTCACACCTTCACACCCAAAGAAGAGGGCAACGTTATTTGCTTCCGCAATACGAGTTCACCGCCCAGTCGCAGCTGTAGTGCATGGGCCGAGACAATCGAGTCGAAGCGGGAGATCAGCAATCCGGGGACATGGGAAGCTCTGCCAAATGGGTTCCTCGTGGGTGTCCGGAGAGAAGTGTACGATAGCGGGTCGAGCAGTGGCGAGTCGTCTCCGACAACAACCGGAGGTCTCCGTCACAGGATGTATCAACGATTAGAGAAGCGACCGAGCAGATCGCAGGACAATTGGGAGGTCTGGGTGGCTTCAGAACTGGGGCGGGAGGAAATCTACGAAACCAGGCCACTCCATGAAGAGTACGAGATAGGCTCGCATCTCATCATTCCGGACCTGGGTCCCATCGTCAAGGTCGGCACGGCATCAGTGGCTGTTGCCTTCGGTAACATTATCAAACTGATCACGGTTGGACACCAGCATTTCGAGGACCTGGCCGAGAACGAGAACGGGGAGTCTCTGCACATTGGCAGCCGACGACGGAAACCGGCAGCTGTTACGCATGCCCGGATGAAGGTCCCGTCATGGATTTGAACTATAAGCGGGAGTCAAACTCGGGGCGGAGATTTTTGGATTGGAAGGCAATATCTTTTCTTCTTTTTATATACCCATGATCGACAAAAGGGAGTTGGGATTTTTCTATTTGCTATTACTTTGACATAGTTTCGAGATGATACCCCCATCATGGGGGTGAGGGGTGCCAGAATTTTAAGATTCCCCATTTCACTACATGCTAATGGTTCTTTTGTGACTGCTTCGTTGCGTTGGGGCTTCTTCTGCTGGACAGATCTAAGAGGTGAGAGCTATTACTTGTGAAATCTCAGGGCAATATTCCCAGGTTAGGAAGAGAGGGGATGTCTCTTAAGTGATATCTCGATTTCCGAGGTGATGCATGATCTACCCAGGCAAGGCAGATCAATACTTCAACCAGTCCCCCCCCATCCATCAACCACGGCTTTTTCTCATATCAAAGAGACTTCTCCCCTTTTCCTTTTTCAGTCGTGTCGCCTTGAGACGTGCAGAATCTGTGGCCCGTTGCACACAACCCAGGCGTGCTTGCTCCTCCAAGCCGCCGTCATGAACCACTCTGTTTCTCTCAACTACCACATACGACCATACCCATTGGAAAGCTCGGGATCCCGTCCGCTCTCCCATAGATAAGCCAATGAGGGCCGGATTAGTAGTTGGGTCGGTGACGACCAGCGAATACCTGGTGTTGTATGTTTTTTGAAGTTTTTGTGGGTGGTGGCTATCGTGATGTCTGGTTTTTTGGTGTTGTGGTGGAGTCGGTGAGGGTGTGGGGGTGGGGGTGTTGGTGGGGAAGTGGCGGGTTTTTTTGACGACGGTTGATGGTGGTTGGGGGTAAGGGATGGAGAGGACTGATGGTCAGGGTGTTGTAGCCGTATGTGTTGATTAAGGTCTTTCTTAGCTTTTGTCTTTGGGAAAGGGTGTCTCGTTGAATTTGGGGTTGGGGGTTGAGAAGCGGTGTTCGTGTTACTCTTACACGCAGCCGACTTATAAGCTCAAGGCCTGGCAGCAGCCTGTCTGACCTTGGCCATGTACTTCTCAATCATATATCTATAGCTGCGTGACTGTGGTATAAGGTGGCGATAGCCCTCGTCCCCTAGGTCAAATGATACGGGGCATATAATCAACAGTCAGTGGAAAGCGGAGCCGTATGGGGTTCTTTCTGTCATCTGGCAATTAAAACGGTCCCCTTTTGGTCAGGATACTTGTTGACTGTAGGGAATCTCGGAGGTAAGGAGGTGGATTCGATCATGACCATGGACCGACTATCCAAGATACCAACGTATCGGGCTGGCTGGGCGATACCGTATGTGGTCCCTTGGTGAAGAAGGGTGTCGACATGCTTCGGGAGCGGGGCGTTTGTTGAGTTGCCTGAAGTGTCTATTTACAGACTTCAAACTTATCACCATCTACTTGAGGATTTCCGTCAGCTCGAAGGTATTCATCTCAGAATACTAAATCACCGATGGAAGAATGTCAAAGAATAGTTCGCTCGTCCGTATGGTGAAGTTTAGGTTGTTATGTATGTTAAAATATATCAACTTGCAATGACAATAGCAATGCTTAAGGCACAGGCGAACGGGTTATTGTCTGGGTTAGTCACCCACAAGTAACCACAACTACCTACCCTAAGGCTGCCTCTGGGGAGTCTAGTATGTTTCCACAAGACACTCCTTTATATGAAGACTTCGAGTCACGTCTTGGGACACTTTCTGATAAAAGAAGGCCCAGTGCGAGGGGTCCGTCCCTATGAACCTTTTACTGATACCAGCTTGTCTTACGTCTCATTTGATTGAGTAGTTGCTCATATCGAGGGTCGTCGGCCTCCTGCTAAGTAAGGTATGGGGGGTGGGCATCCCTTTGCTCCTTCCTGGTCAGACTTCAGTTACCTGAGACAGGCAGGCTTTCGTGACGCTACCCTTGGGGAAGGCGCCATGGGGGAGGTATGCTGGGCATGTGAATCATCATCTGCCTACTTTATCTGGCATGAACCTAGATCTGGGAAGATTCTTCTGTGCTTTCCATAAAAGCTTTAGACGTAGTAGAGCCGAAAGAGCATGAGACGCATTTCACTTTGTAGACCTCCAAGACCGCTGATCTGGATGGAATGTTGAGAACACCTGCTTCTGCACTGGCTCTGGTACCGACTAGCATATCGCCGTCTGTCAATCGATGGTGTCAGCGTATAATGATCCCAATGTCATCCTACCATTGGCCGCTCGTCGTAACTCTCGGCGAAGGCTGGAGCAGGACAACCCACTTACGGACGTCTTGACGTCTGTGATAACGGTGTTGCCGTCTTTGGTCATATAGATACGGCTTTCTATACAGGAGAAACACCCAAGGGTATTTCCTTGACTTGGTCGAAGACGACTTCGTTTCCCTCACCAACAATAAGCAGAAGGGATCGGATGCCACAAGATCATCGATATGCTGACGTCCGAGCATGATTTCCCCCTTTTTCTGGCCTCTTCGTTGTTGTCCTGTTGATCCTTGGTAGGGGCAACTGAACGTTTTCCTTCCTGCTGATTGGCATATTTGGTAATGGCCTCGTCAAAAAGGTTATTGGGGACATCCATAATATCGCTACAAGCTTACGATATCTTGAGCATTTGCAGTATCTGTCACATATTCTTTCCTATCCCTCAGCATAAGTTTAAAAGCATTCGACATAGAATACTATAATGACGGCACCGAGCTGGCCGAGACCCTATTCACATGCAATAACTTTCCACTTGTGTCACAACACATCAGATTAAGCCGCAGGCAACGGCACATTGTGTTAGCAGATCGTCAAGAGATTAGATGGGACACTTTACCCGGACTCGGTGATTCTATTCCTCTCTCAAGACCGTAGAGTGAATATATAGACGTTGGCATCAAGTCAGCTGAAGTTCTCGCACCAGCGAAAGACCACGATTACTGTTGAACTTCGGAACGGACTCGAGATGGCTAGGCAAGGTCAGAACTGCGTCAACATCGGCATCATTTGTCAATGAATCTATAAAGTATCAATTATTATAGTCCTTAAAGCGGCCAGTCGCCATGTTGTGCATTCTACGTCTACGCATAGGAGACTGTGAAGGTCACCGCTTTTACACTTCCAGGATGGCGCATAGGTGGAGGTTTGGAAGAATTATAGGCACAGAACCATGACCGTCATATCGGAATACTAGTGCGTGGGTCTAAGCCTTTCGGGTTGTGAATCTGAATCTATCAAGTGGTGTTTCCCAGGAGAATGTATCCCGCGCTCTCAATCCTCTTCGTCTAGACTTCGTCTTAGTTGCTTGACCCCTTTCATCGCCTGCGATGTACCCATTCTGACCTCCTCTAAACTATTCACCTTTCATAACCTCTTGTTGACGCCGACTGCCATGACTCCAAAAATCCACAACAAAAACTGCCATGAAGCATCTTATCTCTAAAGACTCGAAACCCACTCTCAAATAAACGACCATGGAGTCGCCGGGAAACCAGTCCAACGGCGACGAACATCCACCACATCCTGCGCCATCCCAAGTCCACGACAAACCTTCTAGCTCACTGATACCGCGGCCTCCGGCACGGGTACTGATCAGGGAACCAGGTCAAGCACTCCTCGCAAGCGTCGTCGAGACCGATAGTCTGCCATACCTGCCTCTTGGCGCAGGGCTTCTGGATGAGGCTAGCGGGTTGGCAGAAGCGGGCGAACGTAAAGGAGAGGTGTTTGCACGTGAAGGCGTGGGCGTAGTATTGGCACATTTTGGGCTTGTGCTGTTGTGCTCGTGTTGGATGGGGAGGTTGTGATTGTGAATTAGTGATTTGGTTGCTTGATATTGCGAGAAAGTGAATATTGAAGTGTTGAGCATGAGTGGTTGAAACTTGGCGTATGGAGGAACAGCTTTGCTTGTTGATGGGTTCTCTCAGAGTAATGAGGCTTTGTGTTTGTCCAATTCCTAGGGAATGTATCTCGGCAACTGGTGATATATAGTTGCAGCTGAGAGACTTAAGCTCAGACTCGAACAGAGGTTGAGGCTCGCTCGTTGGTATCTTGAAAGGCGTGTAAGAAACGAATGTGATGATGTTGGGTCAATAACAAGATCCAAAAGATCTAAAGCACACCTGAGAAATACCGACCACAAGAGCACGAGCACGTATTTGTAGTTTCCCCTGTCTTGGAAACACATCATTGTCAAACATACCAACGTCAGTACAGTTTGCCTACGTCGGGCACCAAACCACAAGCTACGGCATCACCTCGACCCTACCAGACAACACCGTTTGAGAAGCTGTAGGAAGCCTCCTTCACCCTTACCCTACATGGCACTCGAGCCGAAGGCGAGGTACGACCAAAGACCAAAGAAAAAAAGGAGGAAACCCCAAACCGAAGCACCGAGATCTATCAAATCTCCTCTCCCAAGCAGGGCGCGGGTCCGCGGGTCGCCCGGAAGCTGCAGCATCCCGCTCCGGGAAAGCAAACGGTGGTTACCGCGGCCAGGAACCAGGAACGAAGCGATGCAGAGTCTCAAACGGAATCCTCTGTTCTCATTCGAGAATAACGAAGGACACACAAATGGGGGAAAGAATGCTTTGGGTCCGGTCACTATTCCATTCAGCTTCACATGTTGGTCGAAAAGACAACTGGCAAAGGGGTGTGTTGCACTGTCTGATGAATGCATCCACGTTCCAAAATGTGGTGCCCGACCAACGTCATGATGTCTCTCGTGCTGAATTTGAGGCAAGTCGACACGACCAAGGGGATCCATAACGGCTGGTCCATCTTCAACCTCGCCCGGCATCGAGGCTGTGATCGTAGCATATAGGGCTGCAGGCCCCATCATCTCAGGATCGTAGTGTAACGCAGTCGAGAAGCGAGTCCGACTCCGAGTGAGATGACGAGGTCGTACAGTCTGGTGGCGGAGTGCGCAACATTGGGGCTGGCAGAAAGTGCGACAGCCGCTCTCACCTGTGAATGACAACACATACAGAGAGGATGCGTTTGTACTGCGACCTCAATCAATCCGTTGGAGACATGTACAGAAGTTGGCAGGCCATGTCACAAGGCACGCCTGCACGTGTGGTTTTTGTCTGCACCAACTTACACATCCCAGGGCTCGCCACCCGAGAAAAGCTCCCATCACGTCTCTCGACAAAGCGGAGTGGAGGTGGACCCATGAAGAGACATGGAAGAAATCGTGATTCCAAAATGACATCGGTGACATACACAGTAGCCGTAAGAGCCTGGATGCCTATTCTTCACCGCCAGTCTTGGTACTGCCTGTTTGTTGCTGCTGCTGCTGCTGCTGCTGCTGCTCACTTCTGCAGTCGTTAGTTAGGCCGTGCTTCAGTATGTAAGCGGTATGTTGGGTTTCTTGTAGTCTCAAAGATCGAACGCCATTCAGTGAAGAATAAGCTGGTGAATTGAGAAGGAGGGGCGGCCGCATTGATCATGGCCAAGCGTGAGGTTGGTAATGGGCCATAGGCTTGTCAGATCCAGGGTCATTCTTCTCTTCACTATAATAATCCGGTTCATTGGCACTCGTGTGTTGGCGTGGCGTAACAGTGCGAGGTGTTCCTTGGAGCGCTGGGATTGGAATACGCGCAGTTGTCAGGCGCAGCGAGGCCATTGACTTATGCGCTGGCACCATTGAGGCCTCTGGGAGGCCGCACATGAGGTCGGCGAATCGCGACTGAGAGTAGGGGGAATCTTCAGACTTTGGACTTTGGTACAGTGAAAAAAAGAGGTGGCTGGGATGCCGAGAGTTGAGTCTCTCGCAAAAGGGACGTTTTCCCTGCTTTGAGAAGGCGCGCCGCGTCCCGTTGGTCAGATCAGAAGGCGATCAAGAGACGTTGGACGCTAACCCCAAGATAGACTAGAGTGAACCGGGTCGGGGCCACTACCAAACGCTGGTGGGTCGAATGAGCGGTACGTACCTCATTTGGGTGGAAACACCGTGGAGCACAACTTCACAAGTTATTCCACGACGGACGACTTGTGCCATTTAACCCACCCAGTCTTCCTCGTACAAGACGGCTTTGTGCAACATGGATCGGTGAATACACCACGATGTCCGAGCAGCATTTGTTTCGGGACGTGAGCTGGGTATTCTGAAACCCCCAGACTGTCCAGGGTGACAGTCGCACGGGCTATTTATTCGTTGCTGTTCGAGGGCGACGGGAAGGATACTCGAGTCTCACTCTCGACAGTCGACATCCGGCCACGTTGTGCGCCTTCGAGCCCCTTGCTTTGCCTTTGCCTGCGTATCTGTAGGGTGCATCAAACACTCTGGGCACGGCCAGAAGTAGGCTTGCGTGGGGAGCATACGACCAATATCAAGTCGCCAGCAGCGGGCCACCAGAGCGCATTACGCCTGTCTGTGTGGGCGCATGACGAAGTCTCAAAGCAACGCGAAAGACAGGTTCGGCGAAGTGAGGGAGGAAAAGCAAGCAAGACAGCGGCTCAAGCTGATTTGTGCGCATCAAGCGAGATGGCATCTCCCGTGTCTCAGCCCGGCGTGATATGATGATATGACGGGAATAGTGTGAGAAGATGCTTTGGAAGTAAGGATCGTGTCGCGTCAAGTTTGGCCGCCGTCGTCGCAACGATTGGGAGAAACTCCTATCTGTCTCAAGAACCGAAGAAGACAATGTCTGCGCATACTCGTAGTCATAGAGGGGTCCAGGCCAGCCGAGCAAGCTACTGGTGAGTGAAGAATACTCGAGAGTTGAGACCCCGCGGACCCTTGGGACGATTAGTTGGTTAGTCGGCTTGTCTCGGAGCGTGGTCCCGCGTGTCAGAAGGAAAGCGCGGCGCTATCGCGTCGTCGGCGTCAATTCAGATCATATAGCATCCTAGACCTAGGGTTCAGATGAACGGCGCTTGGTCCCGTAGCGCGGTCATGTGGAAAGCTTGGATGGCGAGTGACTGAAGAACGGAAGAAGCACGTCGCAATGCGTACAGTACTAACTAAGTATTGGTAGGATGAAGCGATGACTGAGGTGATATCAGCATTGCCGCTGTTTGTTCGGAGAGCGAGCTGGAAGAGGAAGATTGCCGATGGGTGGAAGAGAGGGCCGGTGGAGGCAAGGCAAGCAGCAAGAAAGTGACCAGGAAGGATTCCCGTCTTCGCTCCCACCTTGGTGGTGTGTCTGGCTCTTTCGGCTTTCCATGCTGGGGGCCTGGGGCAAGTGGACAAGTTCGCAATTGCAAGTGCTCATCTCACACCTGAGTTCAGAAGGGAAGCGGGTCGCAGGGATCCCCAACTTAGGTACCTTCCAGGGTACCTTAGCGCGGGCATCTTTTTACCCCCCGTGTCCCCGTCCAAGTTCGTGGGAAACGGTGCCTGTGCTTGGCTTACCTTACCTTACGGAGTACGGATACCTTGACTTGCACACTTGCAAGCCTTGTTACCAGGTTGTTTCCTGCCTCCGTCCAGTCCAGCTCCAGCTTTCACTTTCCAGCCCAAGCTCTATTAGCTCCAGTTCCAGTTCCAGTTCCAGTTCCAGCTCCAGGCAAGCTCTTCTTCTTTCTCTTTCTTTCTCACCACTTTGGCTGAATATTCGTCGTACCTACGAATACCTAGCTTTTCCAGCCCCAGCCTAAGCAATTGGAGGCTGATGTCACTTGCGCCCAATCCAACAACCGTCTTCGCACTCGATTCCACCGGGCCTCCCACATCAACCACTCTCGAGCCTTGACTCACACGGTGCGCGCGTCTTCCGAGGGGTGGACAACTCATCTTGCAGCATCTTGCCCCCCTCATCCAACCTACAATACCCGACTTCATTCGCTGCCTCTCGTCTCTGTACGACATCGCCCACGGCCGCTGTTGCTGCTCCCACTTCTCTCATCGCATAAGCACCCGACCCCTGGTGCTCAAAAACTCCATACTCAGACGTCCTATCGCGTAGCCGCCATTACCTGTACGGTACCTGTTGGGTGACTTCGTCATTTATCTGTACCAGTACCCTAGGAAGTGCCTCCATTCCCACCCGGCCTCGGCTCTCCAAGCTCTACACCACCTATCTTACGGCCAGACCGCGCAGGAGCTCTTGCAAAGGCCCACACTCGTTCATGCACAATACGACCGCACGCCCCAGTCCTCTGCGCCTTTGTCTGCAAGCTCTCCTTTAGGGCACATATAACCTGCAGCTACCTACATTACCTTACATTACATTACATCGCCTGAACCCGTCTCAAAACTTACCTGCATCGTTGCCATTCCTCGACTCGTCCTTAACCACTGTCGAGATGCCTTCATAGCCCGACATCCAACATCGTACCTCGTAACACCTCAATTCAACGACCGCGACTGCTGCCAGCCGCCTCATCTCGTCTGATTCGGTCCCGCCTGCTCCCACCAAGACGTTGACGGACCTTTGGCACTTGGTCCCGCCCCCGCAGCCACGCCTACGCTCACGCTCACGCCCGCTCTTCACCGCCTCCTACGCCGGCATTGCCCTCTGACACTCGTTTATTCTCCCAGGGATCGCCCTCGTAGCCCATCTGGTAGCTCACCTACGCCTGCTTTCCAAAGGCCTCTCGACGAAAACCCACCCAAGCACTGAGCGACGTCGTCATGCTATTTGCGAAAACGACCACTCAATCACCCATTTTCTCACTTGAGCCTCATCCTGCTCTCACTTGGATAATCGATTTCTGCGCCTAGCAAGTTGCCAATTGGTCGAACGGTCGGACTCCCTCACTTAATACTTGCTGTAATGTATTATACCTGTGAGTATCCATTTCTCCCAGATTACACTCAATGCGATCAACGCCCGTAGTCGCTGACAACCGGCATAACTCAGTCTCATTATCAGGCCAAAGATAAAAACGTCGTCGGCTTGTTCTGCTTCCCGAATATCATCTCACCATCGAGCATCTTGCAGCTCTCATAATTCTGGCGCATTCACTACTGCCCGCGACTCACTCCCGGCCATTGACGCCCTTCTACTGAGCAACTCTGATTCAGCGCCAAGAACGGCACTTAGTTATTTATTGGGAAACCTCCGGCCATTTCCAGTCAGATTCCTCACTTTGATTTGGCCACTTCTTCGACAAGTCTAGGGAAGCCGCGATACTAATCTTCGCCCTCTCACCGGCAGCACACGTGCGAGCCAGTCCCAATGGCTTCCTCCGAAGTGGACCAGAAGTTCCTCGGAAAATGGGCCAAAACCGTCGAAAACGATAATCCCCTCTTATCCTCAATGCTTTACAAGATCCTCGGACTCTCTCTAAGCCTCGCAGAGCAACTCGTCACAGCGAAGAAACAGCGCAGACCCGATGCCGCCCGCGCGCCCCAGTCCCTCGACCTCATTTTCCACATCATCTGGCTCTCAAGGGAGGGCCTAGTGATGCTCCAGCAATATGTGATTCCCATGGTGGGAAACCACACAGAACTCCGGGTATTGGCGTACAAGCTACGAGCATCCTTCTACCACATCTTCGTCCTGTTTCACAACAAACCTGCAGTGTCCACCATGGGCATCGCAACTCCAGACACAATGGCTGGATTAACCCCGCCAAGGTTGGACAAAGGCAAAGGGATCGCAAGAGAGGATTGGAACTCATCACAGGGCTCAATACAGCCTACGCATGCCCTTGAGGGCGGCCCAGTGAACCCTCCGCCGGGTTTCGCTCCTCGAAGCGGCTCCGACCAACCCGCCGCTTTCCTCGAGCCGCCGAGAGACTACCTCCCCGAAGCGCACAAGTACTTCAAGGAGGCGATTGCCCTAGCTGACCAACACCTCTGGGGATCCCACTCATTACGACTCTCTGTCAAGACGGAATACGCCGCGTTCCTCTACGAGTGTGTACACGACGCTGACGGGAGCCGGAAACTAGCCAAGGATGCCATATCCGAGGTCTACGAGGCGACCGAGGGCATGGATGACGACATGTTTTCTGATGCTTGCGAGCTGGTCACCGTCCTGGGCAAGATGATGAAGCGAGGGCTTGGGTCGAGCAACAACACTTTGACTAGAGGAACAAGCCCGACTCCGGCTGCACCTCCAGGATCGACAATGGCCCCTGGAATGGAGAATCCCATCTGAGTGGTCGGTCGCTTGGTTCAATGATGACCATTCTATGTTTTGGATGGGGCACACTCGATCTTACTCCATCTCCGGTCACGAGTTCCTCGGGGACACGTAGCTTGGTGGCGGTCGTCCGAGACTCCTGCTCCGACCAATGGCGAAAGCCACGCTCGGGTTGCGTATGACGACCTTTCTTTCCTGAAGACGGGTAACTCTTTCCCGAGCTTCATCGATGTATAAAAATTCAGCTCGACAGATTACCGCCACAGCGGAGTTGAGCAGGTCGAGGCGGGCATTCTCGATACTTTGAGCGCGCACAGCATCTCAAACGGCGCACTGGGCGGCATATAATATTACAGCAGACCCTTTCAACAGTTTCAAGGGCTGCTTACTTGTACTTATATCTTGGATACGGCAAGAACGGGAGGTGAATTGAAAATTAGGGGGTTCTTTCTACATGCGCTACGTATGATGGCTGTTTTTTTTTTTTTTGGTTGTAATAGTTGATCCTATTGATACCCCGTCCTCTGCGGTGGCTGCTGGTGGTAGTCTGTACTTTTTCTTTCTGTAGGACTTTCAAGACTTGGGCATTTCTATGCAAGTTGTATTCCATGGCAACTGAGATGCTTTGAGATCGAAACTCAGACCAATCACAAAATCATGAACAACATAGCGTGCAAAAAAGGTTAGCATCGAGTACGGAGTATCAACTGTGAATTTGGTTTCACTCTCTCTCATTCGGCTTAGCTTTGCTACGTTCTCGACGCCCCCCACCCCCAAATCCCTGCGAAGTAGCAGAAAGAAAAGAAAATGCAAAAGTTGGCTGGCTATGGTGAAGAATCCTTAGTCCTCGTGTAGTAAGGAACTACCTTGTTTACCCAGAGACAGCCCAAAACAAGAAAACAAAACGCAAATTATTCCCCCGTCTATTCCATTATCCCGAATCCCCAACCCCAATTCTTTTTGGTATCCCGTAGCCCATCCCATCCGTCTAAACCCAGATGTCCCAAATCAGATTCATGATCAAAGTCTTGTAGACGAAAAAGGGTGAGGCCGTAACCGTCGTCATCATCATTCGTCAGTCGTCACCCCTCGAGTCAGGCATCTCATAGGGGTCGCATCTCGCAAACAAGTGTAAGAAAAGAAAAAAAGGGGTATCAATCTTCGTCATCATCGACCAGAGCATCTTCAGGAGCGTCCCGACCCTCGTTAGGGTCCAACAGATCCTCGCTACCGGCCACCGAGGAAGCCCAACTCCGCACGCCAGCGGCCTTGCCTCGGTCCTCTTCGGCCTCGCACCTCGACTTGATCATGTGAAGCGGCACCATTCGGCCCGTGGCGTTGAAAAAGTTGGCCTGCATCTCGAGCCACTTTGTCGCCTCCCTCTTGGACACCACAGCCGCGAGCGTCGCGTCATCGCGGCGCTGCTGTCTGTCTGCCGGGCTGGGCGCTTGTCTATTGGCGGGAGGAGGAAGCGGCCTCTTTCTCTTATAAGATGCTGCCGGCGCGGGAGGGTAGAGTGCTGGGTGGACGTGACGGCGGATGTAGCGTTGCTGTCCGACAAGTTCGCGTTCGTATTTAGCTTGGGGATCGGCGTCGTTCTCGTCTGCGCTGGTAGCGGAGGACGTTGACTCGGAGGCCGAGGAGGTGTCGCGGAGGAGGTTGAACCGGTCTCGGTAGGATGAGCTCGGAGTCTCATCGTTGGAGTCTGAGGTAGCAGGCTTTGACGACGAGCTTTCTGACGGGGTAGGCTTGGAGGGTTTGCTTCTTTGTCTGGGCTCCTTGGGCTTGGGCTCAGATTTCTTCGCCTCTAGCTTCTTGCCCTCAGTGATCTTGACTTCCTTGGAAGGTTTCTGTGACTCTTTCGGCTTGTCATCGGCCTTGGGGGTCTCGTTGTTCTTCTGCTTCTGCTTCTCGGCTTTGCGCTCGGCCTTTCTCTCTGCCTTGGATTTGTACTTGTCGTCATCTGCCTTCTTTGCCTCGTCTTGGCTCACAGCGGTTTTGTCATCAGCCTCAGTATCGGCCTGAGATCCAGTTTGGATGGACTCTCCTCCGGATTCGGTCGAATTGGCAACGTTGATCTTCAACACGTGCCAGCGCTTTTTGACTTCGTTCTTGCCTCTGTTGATTGCGTTGCCGATGGAGGCCCAGCTCTCTCCACCCTCTTTCATACTGATTATGAGGGCATCCTCTGAGTCCGTCCACTCGCCTGCGCTTGATGATTGAGCGCCAGCAGAGGCATATCCGCTCTTTGAAGATGCATCGTCGGTTGTGCTCTTGTCTTCTGAGGCTGTCTCGCCAGAAGCTAACGACTCAGCCACCTCTGAACTGGCAGCTTCTGATGTGACTACAGAAGATGTTTCTGCTTCTGTAGCCACCTTACTTTCGGTATCTGCGGCCTTGCCCTTCTCGCTTGGCTTCGTCTTGAGGTCGACCTCCCTATCAGCAACGTCTGTACTGACCTCCGAACTCACAATGCTGGTTGACTCCCCAGATGTGGTTCGGTTGTCAGGCTCGGTGAGTTCCTCAACGTCAAGATCTCCAAACAGGTCGACAAGGGTCATGGCGTCATCGTCGGTCACTGCTGTAATGGAGGATGTGGCATCGTCAACCGCTACGGCGGCCTTGTTGTTAGCCTTGGTCATTGTGTAGGCATGAGTGTGTCAAGTCGTGAAGGATTTAAGAGGTGAAACTGGAATGTGTATCAGCAAAGCGAAGTGTAAATTTGAGAAGGGAAGTTTGGCTGGAACTGTAGCTCACTTTTCAAGTTTGGTCTGCCTGTAATTACCCTGAATACCAAAAAGATGTGAGATCGGCAGTCGTTGCTTCCGTTCCAGGAATTACTGCAATCGTCCAATCTGCGATATTCAATCCGCCGAGAGTGACAGTTGCCGATTGTATTCAGAAGACGCGTTGATTGATGCTGCACTTGGAGTTCTTGCTTGTGAGATTGGTCGGGCGCCGTCGATGGGCTTGGTTCTGATATTGATGAGTGAGTTGTAGGTAAGCCCCTACTTTGTGATTGATGTTGGAGAACGATGGTGAGGTTGTTGTGTTCTATTGATAGATTTATCAATGAGAGTGCCAGCTGAGAATTCGCACTTGGCGATGGTCACAAAGTCGTTCTTTGTGAGAAGTTTGGTGTGTAGTTGGAAGAAAGAATAGAGGATCAGGTGGATGGTTGACCTTGCCGATGGCTGAGGCAGGTGAAATTGGCAAAGGAGGCAGGAGCCAGTAGTCACAGGGCTAGAAATCAGGAAGCTACGATTTCACCCAAGCAGGAAGGAACAACGTTTCGTCATTCTTTCCCAGCTAGACAGGCATATCCTACGATTGAATCAATTCTGTAAGGTAGGTAAAAACCAGAAAAGAAGAGAAAAAATCTGCTTGTGGCTATGGTGAGCACGAACACGGAAATAAAAACGTGAAGCTGGCTTTGACAGCCAAGATGGGGCAGGCGGCAGAGGACCTCCTTGAAAGCTATTAATACGGCTTCATCAGACTGCCAAAGTGTCAAATTTCAGCTTGAGCGGTTAAATGGGGCGGACCAATCAACGAGCATGAATCATACGGGAAGTGTGCGTATGCAGCATCAATGATCAGACATCACATCAGTCATGGTGGGACGAAGGGACGAAACGCCGCTGTTCGGGGTCCCTAAGGTTCTCGCCAGTGCAAGTTCCATGCCCCCCCCCCCTCGCTGGATCTTAAAGTATCCTCCGGTCTAGAACAGGCGAGACCGGGCGGCAGGGCGATCTGCCGGGTGCATGGCGTCAACGGGTTGACATGTAATGGGTCCCGTCGATCTACATGCTGAAAATAGGCGTTAATTGTGCGACGTGCTGAGTGTGATATTGATTGGGAAGTTTGGTAAGTTTGGTAGAGCTGTGGTCGGTCGTGTGGGGGAGGATTCGGAGGAGTGGGATGTGTGGGAAATATCAATGTGATGTTAACGACAAGGTCCGGGGATTGGTCCACGGCGCTGAGCCTCTGATGCAGGTCCGGCACCTAATAAGGTACCTTACTTTAAGGTACGGAGTAGATGTGTATATACATGAGTGACGGCCAATCATGCCCCCGGGCTTACTCATCGTCCTGAACCCGCCGTCGGTGGTTGCATTTCGGTCTCTGAAAGACTGAAAGGGGCGACTAGCGGCTTTCTCTCTCACTGGCCAAGAAGTTCTCGCAAGGCCTGAAACAGCAACCAACTCTTCTCTCACCAGCGACGGCCGTACAAACTCACTCATCCCAACACCCGCCATATCTCGTATCCCGCATCCCACATCGCACACGCCAAAATGGCAGCGTCGTCTTCACTGCCCGATCTGCCACCCAATTACCTCAAGGCCCTTGAGCTGATCGACGAGGCCCACAAGCAAGACCCCAGACCATCGTCCGTTGAGTCGGTGCCTTTTGAGCTTCACTATGCCCAGAAGATGACCCGCTGGCTCGCCGTGAGGTGTCCGGCGGCGCCTCCGGTTCTACAACTGGCCTGCCGAGCCCAGCATTTCAGGAGGTAACATTCGCAATTAAGCAATTTTTCCCTTTTTTAACACAAGCAATTACAAGCATCGCGATGTGCATGTCAAGCATATCATATCATGGCGATGAATAAGGATACCCCCCTCCCTAGTAATTCACCGGCCTCACTTTCTGACTCACCTGATTTGCAACCCGTAGATGGGAGATTCCCCGCAACACGTACCCAATGACCCGTCCGGGCTACCTCACCTGGCGCGCGAAGCTCAAGTCCCAAGCCGCCGCCCAGGTGGCTGAGCTCCTCACCTCGTCGTCCGCCATCCAGCCCGCGATTCCCCAGGAGGACGTCGACCGCGTGGCGGCGCTCATCCGCAAGGAGAACCTCAGCAAGGACGACGAGACGCAGGTCCTCGAGGACGTGGCGTGTCTCGTCTTCCTTGACGATCACTTTGACGACTTTGAGAGCAAGGAGGAGGTTGATGAAGGCAAGATTATTGGCATCTTGCGCAAGACGTGGGCCAAGATGAGCGAGGAGGGACACGCGCTGGCATTGAAAATGAACCACAGCGAGAGGGCTTTGAGTCTCATTGGGAAGGCCTTGGCGGGGTGATGTCGCGCGAGATTCATATGAGAGGTTTTGGAGGGGTAGATTCCACATGAAAAAGAAATAAAAATAATTCCTCTCCCACCATGAGACCATGACTGGACCCCACGACCCAATGCGATATCGGTGATTTACAGTGATGACGACCTCTGTATCCGTGCATTTTTAGCGAGCGAGAAAATCCCCCATGGCCCTGGGGGGGCAATCCACCCCCGCCTGCATGGGGGGCGGCCATCATCCATGGGCAATTGCCAGAGTTGCATCAAAAGGGAAACCCGGGGAGGACGGCACGCTGCAGCCCCACCGCCCCGAGCGACGCTCTCGGCGCAATACCGCCCGAAATCGACTACCCCCTTCGGTGCCGGGACATGTCAGACTACGCCTTGGCGCCCGGCCCGCGACGACATACAAAGACGGTGATTCAAGACTACACCTCCCAATATCATCCCTCCTTCTCACGCCCTGCTTCTAACCATTTTACGTGTGCCCTCCTGATAAGAATATGCCCCCTCTTACACTGACGCCCGCCGAGGTATCAAAACACAACCGCCTCGACGATCTCTGGCTCGCCATCGACGGCGCCGTGTACGATTTCACAGAGTTTGTTCGCGAGCACCCAGGCGGCATCGCCGTGATCCTCAAGTGCGCAGGCAAAGACGCAACAGAGGTCTACTCTGAAGTCCACGGGCCTAACCTGGTCAAATCGACCATACCCACCTCGCACCACAAGGGCGTATTACCACCAGGAGCCATCATGGCCAAGCCTCAACCTCACAAGTGGCCGCAGCAGCAAGATCCATCTCACAAGCAAAACAGCCAAACACCATCACCACCAACCATCCCCTCCAAACCACCCCTCACCACCCTCATAAGCGCCCACGACTTCGAATCCGCAGCCTCCACCTCCCTCTCCCCCAAAGCCTGGGCCTTCGTCTCCTCCGCCGCGACAGACCTCCACACAAAAACCCGCAACGCATCCCTCTACTCCCGCATCACCCTCCGCCCCCGCGTCCTCGTCGACGTCGCCGCCGTCACCACCGCAACAACGATGCTCTCCCACCCGATGCGGTCCCCCATCTTCTGCCCCCCCACCGCAATGGCCCGCCTCGTCCACCCAGACGGCGAAAAGGAACTCGGCCGCGCCTGCAAATCCGCCGGCGTCCCGCAGTGCGTCTCCGTCTCCGCCTCCTTCCCGCTCGAGGACATCCTCGCCGCCCAGCGCGAGCACGAACCCACAACCCCTTACGACGTGCCCGTCTTCTTCCAGCTCTACGTCGACAAGAACCGCGCCAACTCGGAACGCTTACTCCGCTCCGCCCAGGCCCAGGGCGTGAAGGCCCTTTTTCTCACAATCGACGCCCCGATCCCGGGCAAACGCGAGGCCGACGAGCGCGTGGCGTCCGACGAGTCCCTAGGCTCCCCCATCTCCGGCGCCCGCGCCGTCAACGACGCCAAAGGCGGCGCCCTGGGCCGCATCATGGGAAGCTACATCGACGCCTCGGTAAACTGGTCCGACATCGCCTGGCTGCGCCGCACCGTTCCTGGCCTGCCCATCGTCCTCAAGGGCGTGCAGACGTGGATGGACGCCGAGCTGGCCGTCGAGGCCGGCGTGGAGGCTATTGTCCTCTCCAACCACGGTGGGCGGAGCCTCGACACGGCCCCCGCGACCATCATGGTGCTTTTGGAGTTGCAGAAGCATTGCCCGCACGTGTTTGACAGGGTCGAGGTGTATGTGGACGGCGGCATCTCGCGCGGGACGGATATTTTCAAGGCGTTGTGTCTTGGTGCCAAGGCCGTGGGTGTTGGTAGGGGGTTGTTGTACGGGCTTAATTATGGTGCCGAGGGCGTGGAACGGTACATTGAGAGTGAGTCTTGTTCTCGTCTCATATATGCCTGGACTTCCTGGGCGATGCATACTGTGCGAGAGATGACGAGAATGCTGACATTTTCCTAGTTCTGCGCGACGAACTGGAGACGACGATGAAAATGTGCGGCGTCACGAATCTAAATCAGGTCCATCCAGGTTTCCTCAATACCTTGGCCATTGACCACCTCGTCCCGGGACGTCAGGACAATCCCAACACACCCTGGCGCCGCGACATACACAGCAAGCTGTAAATTGGTACTGATTATACGAAAGAATGCACTAGTAGTGACATGTCTCACGGAATCTCTTGGCCATCTCTTGGTTATGTCTCAATTGCATTAGAGAGGGTTTAAAAGCCCGATGAGGCCATATAAAAGACTTTGGGTATTACATATACACATAACGATAGTTGCCCCTTCATAAACCTGTCCCACACCACTGCTAACTCCGTATCCACAACAGTGTGTGTGTGTGTGAGCTTCGCATACCTCCAAGCACCCCGCAATCATACTTGAATTAAATCCGTCATAAACAACCAAACCCATCAACCGCGCTTTTCCACCTTGGCCCGCCCGTGTCCATGTCGACAGCCGCTCAAGCCAACTCGCGCAGCTCGTTGTCGCCCCTGTGAGCAGGCAGCTCAGACGCGAAGCCCGGCTGCTGGTGATGCTGCTGTTGCTGTTGAACCGGCGCCGGCGGCTGTCCTTGAGTGGGAGGCGGTGCGTTGTAGTAGCCCCCTTGCTGCTGCTGCTGCTGCGGCAGCTGCTGAGGAGGATACGCCCCCTGCGTCGGGCTGGCGCTGTTCTGAGACGGCACGTACTGCGGCACGCCAGACTGGTACGTGGGCGACGGGCTCATGGGCGGCGGGCTGGCGGGCGGGCTAACGCCGTTGTTGCTCTGGTCGTAGGATCCCGTGCTGACGTCGTACTGCTGCTTCAGCATGCTCTGTCTGTTATTGTTGTCCACGGGAGTGAAGCCTTGCGGGTAGTGTCCTTGCTGTTGTTGGGGAGGGTATCCTTGGGGCGACGGCTGCTGCGTCGGCGGGGCGGGCTGCTGGTACATCTGAGGCTGTCCCTGGTCAGGCGGCGGGGGTCCGACGTAAGACTGGTGAGCGGCCTGGTTGTTGTTGTTGTTGTTGACACTGTTGTTGTCCTTCTTCTTCTTGCGAAGGAGGAAGATGATGCCGAAGACGATGAGGGCGATGGCTGCTACGCCTCCCACGACGCCGCCCACGATAGCGCCAATGGGAGTGGACGAACCGCCGCCGCCACCACTACTAACGCCGGACGTGCTAGTAGTAGCTGCCGACGAAGCAGTGGTTGACGCGATGTTGCGAACTGAGGTTGTTGCCGGCGCTGTCGTCGACTCCTGGGTGACGGAAGAATCTGTAGGGTTTGCGTACACGACAATCACCTCCTCAGTGGCGGCGCATGCATAAAGGGTATAACGGTTGAACAACGAGCCCGAGTAGATGTAAGTGACACACTCGGGTCTATCTGAGGAAGTGCTACAAGATCCTGTATGAGAAACGGCTGACGCAAGAAATGGAGAGCGACAGAGTAACATACCAGAGTTGCATACGAGTGTCACCACTGCTGACGCGACTTGCCGACCTTGATGGGAGACAGCTCGTAGCGATCGTAGTGCAGTCCGTGACCGAGGAGGAGCTACAGCAACCAACAACGGAGTAGAAGCTGTTGATGACACAGGATCCAACTCCGCAGTAGATGGAGTTGGCTGGAGCGAGGTCAGCATTATTCACAGACTATCAGTGTCTGTCTATTATCAGAGTGTTTACTTACTAGCCTCTCCAGAGATGTAACCACAGGTATCATCGCCTCTTACACGCTTGGCCAGCTTCAGTTCGACATTGCCGGGCTCAGGCGCCGCAGTGGGCTTTGGACTGAAGCCGAGCTCCTCCATGTTCATCGCAGCAATGGTCTGCCTGGGTGGAGACCAGCTTGGGGTATCGTCCTGCCATCTCAGCGCCTTGGACTCCACGCCCAGGTACAAGAAAGCAAGAGCTCCGAGTTGAATGAATCTCCCCATGTTGTATCTGTAACGAGCTGTTTCCTATGTGATCACAGAATGATACGAAGTAGAGGAGAAGTGCGAGAAAAAGGGGGGAGAAGGGAGGGATAAGAAGAGACGAGGGCTCCAGAGGAAGATGCGGGAGATAAGGGAGACAGAAACAGCCAGCCGGGCAATCCCAGCTCGGGCTGAGATGAAAAGTTGCCGGATAGAACGCGCCCTGCGGGTGAGCCAATAGACGATGGCGTCCAACAACGCCAATGAGGCTCAACGGAGGGATACATCAACGGTCCAGCTCCAAGTCTCCTGCACTTGACCGTTCGTATGTTGGCCCGGGGTATAGAGACTGGTTGGGATTGGGCCATGTGGAAACTCCGCCTCGTGAGGTGCGGGTGGACCGATGCGCGTTGGTAGCGTTGTTCGACCAGCCTGGCAAGGCAGACAACCAGATGATCATTCCAAAGCCGTTTTCCTTTTCTGAGACCTGACTACATATCTAGTCGAATTGACTCAAGGGAGATCTCAGGTACTTTTACACCTCTTCTGTCCACTTACACGGAGATCACTCGATTCGATTCGTGATTCCTTCGCAGCTTCATAACTTTTCGACTCTTAACCCGGGGACTCACTTGAGTTTTGACATCCTACGGATACGGACTGTAACCAACAAACAAGGCTCTGCGCCCTATGTCACGACAACCCATCTTTGGTGTTTAGCCTGGCGTGATAGCGGTGTAGTGGAGTCTAGCGGTGCCCAAGACAAGACTATCAAGGCCTTTAACCCGAACCGGAGAATGTGGCTTGCGGCTGAAGGCAGACCTCAGTCCAGCTCCTGGTCAACTCGCCAAAACCACCCAATCAGGCGTCGGACAGCTGAAATGCGTGCAGCGAGCTTGACTGACAATCCCGTGTCATTTTTTGCCGAAACCCCCGGACGGTTGACAGGCCCCTGTTGGCAGTGACTCGGTAGCCTTGAATGATGAAAAAGGGTTCCGTTGCGCCCCGCCTTGCTGGTGAACCAAGGGTCTCTTGCATCCACAGCGGAATCAGAGTCTCTGCGCGGAACGTGCCCAAGAAACAAGGCATTTTAGGCAACCTTTGCGCGCCAGCTGCCCTTCATCCATACAGTCGCCTGGTCCCGGCTATGTTCTGCCGGCGCGGACAACGACGATGGGACGCTCGACTCTGTGACGGCATCGGGCAGAGGATTTGGACAGACAGCCTGATGGCCAAGACAGCCGAGACTCCATGAGAAACATTGAAATGCCTTCAGCTTCAAGACGAAATGATGAATCTTTCGGCTCTTGACGCTGAGCCGAGCTTCTGTGGCTGGCTTGGAGAATTTCTGCTCATCATATAGCCAATCCGGGTGCTCACTCGTTTGTGATCTATCAGAAACCATAGTAGCATGGTATATTGGTAGACCATCTCTTCGTCCTCCAGGTGTAGGGCCTACAAAACAACCAGATTCCTCTTACGAAACTCTGGTGGGTATTCTCCAGACGATCGATGGCGGCAGTAAATTGCTGAGTGACCTAGCAGATCGAGAGGCTCGTGACTGAAATCGAAATGTCGTTTCGTTCCGTCTTTCTTTTCATCAGTCTTACTTCGGTGGAAGCAGTGAATGAACAGGTCGATTTGTTACTGCCATCTATAGAGTTAGTTCCAACACTGAACGGGAATTGACGGCCTTACCGTGCGGCAATAAATCGCGATTCGAGAACTTTTGTGCGACTTGACAGGAGGTCGAGCTGTCGAGTGACATGATGAGCTCGTTTACTAGAGATAAAGTGTGACTATATGATGCGGAAGACTTTCGGAATTTCCACGACCAATCTCTCATGACGCGAAATCCGACTAGTTCTTGAAGTGCGAAGTGGAGGCAACGTCTTCAAGCTGAAGGCGCTTGAATCCTAGCCATGGATTGCCTTGTGATCTGCTTGTTAACTGGAAATAAGTGGGAATGGCTTGGAATGGCTCCTCGAATGTCTCTCTGTATCTGATCCTCGTTGGCAAGGTGATCTGAGTATGCGTCGAGGAACGCCCAGTCGGCTAGTGGATCGGACCACGATGCAGACGTCTCCTCTTTGAACAAATCAGCCGATCATCGGATGTTCTGGAAAAGCACCAAATCGGCAAATTCGATATCGGTATTGAACGCCATCTTGGGCGATCTATATACCTAGCCTGCCAGATTATCGAATACCACGGCCGCTATTCGAGATGACACACTCTACAAAGAAACAGCATGGTATACACCACTGAAGTTGACGCAAATTTGTCAGAAACTTCGATTGCAGCTTCGAAAGAAGGACATCTGAATCGGTCGGTATAGGCGCTATGATGAGCACCATGTACGACTCCCATGGAGCGCCACAAGCCGTAGCTTCTCAACTCCCAAACGAAAAAGCGATGAGATTTCTCGAATGGCTCAGAGTCCAAGGAAAGTCAGACATAAAGGAATCGGAGCGGATCAGCGTGAAGACATGCAGCTAGATAGGGGATGACAATGTCGAATTCAGAAGCCCGTACGAGTGATATCGTGCCTTTGCAGGCCTGATCCAATTGCAAGTGAGCAGGAAACCAGCCGCAGATCCTATATTATTAAAACGATTAGCTTTCTCTTCACGCCATGCGGAGTTAATTACAGTCATCTGCTGGGATGGGCGAAGCCGTGAATGACCTCAGTCCAGTGATATCGTGTCTCAGTGCGACTCAACTGTTATCGTTGGATGTCTTCCGCTCGACATATGAAATCAAGCAGGATACAGCGTAGCCCACTATGTCAAGATCAATTCGCGAGCAACTCCCAGCTCTCGGAATAATTCGTCACCCCTCGGAAATGAATTGCATCCCGTTTTGGACCCTCAGCTGTGTGACACTCGTACATGATAGACCAGTTGCAACATGCCGAGCTCTGCAGGGGTAACGTTATGTCCTCTGTGCAACCATGAATAATCGTACCACTGTGACATAGTTGAAGCGTCTCGCAGGACACAAGTAAATTGTGGTCGAAGCTACTTGGACTCTGTGGCGACTACTACTCGAGGGACAAAGTCAGCTGTCGAGTCTGTCTACAAGAGACATGCATGGTACGTTTTTTTTTTTTTTTTTTTTTTTTTTTTTTGCGAAATTTCCGTATGGCCCAGGACAATGAGTCCATGGCCGGAACTACTGGGCTATGAGAAGAAGTGCGTTGGGTCTCCAGATGCTAGACAGTTGGAAATGCGTCGACCAGTTGGACTCGTTGCCAAACACAGGCAACGAAAGCTGTTGGCATACCCGTAACTTCACTCAAAAACAACGATGGGACTCTCTTTCCCCCTAGAATTCGTGTTTCGTATAATTGAGCCACTGGTCTGTGACTATGCCGTGGGTATTAGTGGGGTTGGCGCAAACGGTCGCGTTTCCTTCGAGCTTTGTCTGTCTGACCATGCACCACGGCTGACAGACCGTTGTTCGGGGGAACGGTGAAAGCGTCCGATCACGTTAATGGAACCTAGGGGGGCCGGTCCTTGGTGGTGTAAAGTTCCGCTCAGACCCGAAGGCGCAGCGATAAGTGGAAGTAATAGCTTGTCGATGATGTCGTCCAAGTATTCCAAGACGTGTAGTGTGCAGAGCCTCAAAGTTGAGATGAGATGTGCAGGGTTGAAGCGTCTCAAGATCCCGACGTCAAGCAGGGGCCAAGAATGGTGGCCATTCACCATTCTATAGGTCAACCAGGATCCCTAGCCGACACGTCAGAGGCAGAAGATCAACGACCATCGTCCATTCCATAGAAGAATCCTACTTGTAACATTAGCACTGAACCAATGGCGTAAATATTCGATCAAAAGCCATGCCAGACCTTGAAGTCAGCTTCTCGCGAGTGAGGGATGTCGGAACCTAAAGCTGCGTTAAGCGCACTGGATCACCTGGTATTGGCCGTTGCTTCCGACAGAGCATCGCATACATGCTACGCGTTTTCGAGCTGATCTCCATTGCACGCCACATGAAAGATCATGATGCAAAACATGCAGACCCGTCTGACTGGAACGATGCTGTGGCCAGATCCGGGACCCCGAGATCTCAATAGGCGCCGCCGTTCTGTGCTTTGCATGTCGCACCACTAAAAGGCCGCTAGTTGATAGCTAGGGTCAGTAAATAAGTAAGGGAAGTCGGTGAGGGCTGGTGGCCGATCGTACATGAGGAATGGCGGCATCGGCTGCATATTCCGAGCACCTCCAGCCGGCTAGCTGCATGCCTCGTGCTCTACGGGGCGTCTGCTCGCCAGCACTGCGTTCTCGATCTAGACGTGTTGTATGCGGTTGTTCAAGAGGCTGGATGACTAGATATGGTGGTAGGACGGGTGGTTGGCAGTGAGAATGGCCGTCAAATCCATGTACTAGGCCGGGTCTTAGAGCGGACGTCCCTAGCAGAGCTTAGCAAGATTGACGTATCGATCGAGGCGTCTATCAGTATGCCTCTTAGCAAAAGAGGAAAGTTGACGTAGGTGATTTTCCAAAGTATCATAGAGTTCTGCCCACTGTATGACGACAAATCCCAGTGGTATTTGCCGCTTTGGAATCGCTACATGCTACAATGATGGCACAACGCCCGGGTGCTCCTCGAGAGGCACAGGGACCAGAGCCATGGTAGAGTAAAGTGTGGAATCTGCAAGGCGGCTGTCTGGTGCCCCTGTAGATCGTTCCCGTGATGCTAAGCTGCTCTGACTCGTAGCGCCATGCTAATCGGTGGATATCAAAGAGTATGCTGTCTCAGACGACTGGTGCGGTGGCTGTCCTTTGCATCCATTTATCCGTCTATATTTGTCAAGGTGCAGGACGTGAATAGGTGGCACTGGCCACCCCCCACCAGTCGGGCAGTATCACATATGACGGGCGAGAGCTGATGCCAGCGAATTTTTGCTAGGCTTCGGCCATGGACGACCAAGTGTAGTTAGTTGGAATCGGAGAATTAAATCGGGAACCATCGCTAAGGCCAATAGTGCCGCAACATACTCTGAAGGCAAGGCGCTGGGACCTGGAGCCAGCAAACGGGCTCGCTTTGGAGTTTGGGCTGCCATCGTCGCGTTGTCTATTAGTCCCGATAGTCAAACCAGAAGGTCTTTGGTAGCACGTATCCAAGGCTCCCATTTTCCGAAACGTTTC